ATACGAACGCTGCAAACCATATCATACCAATGTGCAGCTGGCAGACTGCGCTGTGCATCAGGGCAGGCAGTAGATTCTGCTCGGTGACTATCATGCTGTTTCAGACTCACAAAACATGTCAGGCCAACATATCTCACACATGGCAGCACGCCCTTATTTCTGCCAGAGACAGATTTTCCCGCAAATGGGCAATATTTCCTCGACTATTCGAAGTAAGGTGGGTGCCAAGGGCACAGCCAGCCGGTGTTCTAGACGCTGTCTGATTCCATCATGCTCCTTGGCGTCATGTCGCTACCGCTCAGGCCCCGGGAGGGTGTGCCGTATGGTCATTTTCGGGACGCGTCATCAGCAGAACTCAAAAGCGGAGAAATGGCACTCACTGCGATGCCGTAAACACGGCAAATACGGTCACAATATTGATTGCGCCATGTTCGTGCAATTTCTCCATAGACTACGTCATGTTACGTCATTTTTTTGATGTCACTTGTCAAGGTGACATGGGCCTCCGTTGCACCTTCACCAGCGCGGGAGAGCATCGCGGTATGATAGCCACTGACATGCCGCGATCAACCGCTGTGGGCCACGCAGTGCGTCATGTGACATGGGCTGCTTATGGTTGTCCCAGTTCCTGGAGCTGTCGCGCTCAAAGTTCACCCATGCCGGTGTCACAGTGGAAGAGGACTACGCAAAAGCCGCGGCAGGATGGAGCGTGGGCGACGAAGGCGCTGAGTTGGCCGCCGCCTTGGCAGAGTCTCTCAAGATGTCCACGCGCCACAGCGACGAGGAGCAGCTGGAGAAGGTGGGGTCTAAACTCTGATCGCCTTACAAAGTGTCGCACATACTGACAAAGCAATGCCTTCGCAGCTTGAAAGGGCTGACAGCAATACCGCACATTTCCATTGTCAATTCCCAGTGCGCGTTCATCTCTGTTCACTGAAACAATCCAGAAAGAGGTAACGAATCCCTGCCACTCCATCAACAAGCTGGCAACCAACGTAGAAATTCCCAACAGGAAAATAAACATCAGAAAAAGCCGTGATGCGCCACCAATTGGGGCTCCAATGAAATCCCATGGTCAGTACCGAGTGAGGCGCGGATTGATCCACAGAACGTGCTGAGCTCTGCGGTGCACTGTATTGCGCTACACTGTCTTGCGCACTACCGTGCTGTGTTGCTCTGCTCGTAGGCCATTGCAATGTCCCTAGAGACTGCATTGGATGTGGCACAGCCACACGGAGAGCAATCTGCGCACAAGGGCACTGCGTTGCCACATGCCACTCAACCAACGCCACAAACATCCACACACGAAGGATCGAGCGAAGAAGTCGAAGAGCAAGGAGCGGGCTGCACGCAGCTACGTGGGACGCCTGAGGGCGACATTGTGTCATCCCTGGAGGGAAACACCGCGGCGACAGGTGCAGAGGAGTGGCGGGAGAGAGTGCATGGCCGCAGCTTGGGTGACAGATTTGGGGTCCAAATCAGCGCATCAGGTTCAGAAGGGAGCGGTGGCAAAGCATCAGCTGTTCATCGACACCCGGTGGAGCTTCAGAGCATTCGGGCGGCTGCTGCCGCCGCTGCCAGGTCACAGAAGGTGCCAGTATCGTCGGCTATCTCAAAAAATGGGGCAATACCCTATTGGTTTGCAATCATCGTGGGGCTCGCATCGCTGTCCACTGGACCACAATACTACAGCACATTTTGTAGCATGTGCGCGTACATTGCGCATATTTTCCAGGTTGTTCTTTGCAATTGTTGAAACAAAGTTGCCTTTTCGATCGTAAGGCGTTGGGCAAATGGGCTTCTGTGAGAATTAACGAGCCCCTGCTACTCAAGCATCTCGAAATAGTGATCATGAAGAGTGAGCCGAACATTTCTGCGTGCAATGGCCAGTGGCACATTTGTCCGATTGGTTTCGAAGTCGATTGGAAACTCCGCCAAGGCATGATCAATTGATTGCAGTGATCAAACTGTCAAAAATCGTTGTCCTTGTTCATAATATTTTGGCGTGGTAAGGCGCCTTGAGATTTCTTTAGTCAGAGCGAATGCTGCGATGGCTGAGAACGGCATTCAGGAATAACGTTAGTAGATGTTTGGGGATGCAAATGATTGCAATTACTCTGTACATGACTACCACATAGTCTGTTCGTTGAAAGTTAGGCCACAGTCACTTTTGCCCCCGCGCACTGTGATGTGCGTCATACTCTGTGTGTCTCAAGATTTGGCTTGCAGCCTGTAGGAGATCCTTGCAACTGGAAGACAAGTTCTGTCCGATGGCGCGACCAGCAGCACGTCCAGTGGCAATGCGGAGGCAGTTTTGGCTAAGCAGCGACAGCAAGTGATGGCGAACAACAAAGCACAGAGAGAAAAAGCAAGGGAGGAGTACAAGAAGCAACATCCTGACACGGTACAGGGAGCTAGATACTCCGATGGGCTCCAGGGACCCATAAATGCTGACGTTAGTGCTCTGGAGCTGGCGACATGCTGCAAGCAGGTCTATGTGCAATGCACGCATCGCATGTGGCATGATGTACGATAGATGTCAGGTGGCCACTGCTGGCGACGAGATGCCAGATTGGCAGAATCTGGGTTGCAAATCGGTTGAAACGACATTGCTACAAGCACAGCATGAACGGCATGAACATGATTCTTGGTTGGCCATGTGACTGGAAGCTATGCAGTGTATTGTATTGAAGCCTTTTTGTTTTTCTGTTGTGACCAGATGTGCCCAGAGGGTAGAAGGTTGAACGATGATGAAATGGAAGAGATGAGGTTGGAGCTGCGCAGCAAATTGGCGGAGCGGCTCAAACAGCGCCTAGACAGCCCAAACACAGACAATAAAGAGTAGTGGATTTTTCAAGGTGTTCACAGCAGTGGGTGCTTAGGACGAAGTCCAAGGTCGACTTGCTCACCTGCAGAGCGAAATAACTTGGCACAACATTCTCAAAGGCAGTGTCCTGAGAAGAGTGCAGGACAACAAGGGCCAGATATGCTTGTGCGATGAAGTCATCAGCTTCAAATTTCCATGTCATGAGTTGTCCGCTGATCGGTTCCTTAGTGCATGTCCCATGACGTAAACCGAATATCGATGCATTCAATACGATTCGGAGCCAGGTTTTTTGGATAGGACGTCCTTAATGAACAAGAATCTGCCACACAGAACTCCCTAAGTTTGTCAGCCTGGCCGCCAGTGTCCAGCACTCCCTTCTGCACTGGAGCAATGGGCATTCTGGACCCTGCAGATTGCGATGTGTGAGCTTGGCACCCCAGCAGGGACAACCTATGTGCGCTGAGGTCCAGTGGACACCTTTCTGAACTTCAAAAAAGACAGCCTTTTCTGTTTGGGGCCTCTTGCTAAAGCGTGTTTGACCAAACATGGTGCAGCAGGTCAGAATTGCCTCGGTACCTTGTACTGAACAACATCACCATTGATGGTTCAATGGAACCAATCCGCTTGATCACCATGTGCCGAAATACAATAAATGGAGCACTGCCCCAAGCTAGCAGGGCAGCGCTGCCTTGTGGTGATAAACATCACCCTGCGATGGGCCACTGAAAGACAATGCGCTCGGTCACGATTTGCCAGCATGCACTGAAGCGCAGCCCCTGAACTTGCGAGGCAATGCTGGGCGATGCGCCATGGACGTTTGCAACATGTTGTTCGACACTGGACAGTAAGGCGTGGCCAGGGCTGTGCATTTACTTTGTGTGACAAGGCAGGCTAGGCCAATAACAAGAGCGCAACGGTGCAGCAAAACGGACGAATGTGTCAGAGTCCATTTCGCTTGTTGCCAGACCTTGCAACATGTGTTGCAGATATCCAGAAAGCGGTCTCTTCCGCCTCCCTGCCTGTCCAGACTGCCGTCACTCCAGGCCTTCGTTGGCGACTGCAGTGCGCCTGATATTCACAGCCCGCCAATTGTTGCCTCATGCAATCGGGAGTCCATTAACTCGTGCTGTCCTCAGCAGCCAGCGGAATGACTCACCACTCCCTACTACTCCCACCGATCATATGAGACATCCGGCAAGCGCACGGTCAACATGACCCCGTCCGCCACTGAGCGGACGGAGGGGGAATTTTGCTATTCCTGGCGCTGGAACGCCCCAGTTTCGACAGCGAGGACGCATCGAAGGGGACTGGAGCCCGATGGTTGCCATGATCGGTGCCAAAAACAGCCAGGAAGCCATGCACAGCAGCGTGCCACCGCCAGCAACGTTGCTAACAAAGTTGCTGACAAAATCAGCTCCGGGCCCCAAGTCCCCAATTGGAAATTGGGCCAATCGTCAAGCTGCAGATGGAAAGAGCGCAGGCTCAACCAGCAGGATTCCCACTTGTCCTAATTGATTCATTCAAGTCCTAAAAGGACCGAGGTGTTGTTAGTCAGCGTGCGTGCCTTGGCGCAGGCCGACCGCGCCAGTCGTCTCCCGCACGCACCTGCAACAGCGAGTCCTGTACCATCCGTTGGTTCACATGTCCAAGTCGTGCAAGGGGCTGCTTCAAGAGCTGGTCAAGTGCGTGCTCGATAGCGACTGTTACGAGGTAAACCGCCGGAGCTGGACGCTGGCAATCCACAAGTCGAAACCGTAGGCATCCGCTCATGAGCGCATTTCTTGTTTCCTGAGTGCGCCTGCCCTTAATTCATCAAAATGTCAGCCGCCTGGTTGACCGTTAAAGCGGAAAACGGAAAGCGCTGGCGGAATTGGGCCGAAGCGCAAAGTGGTGAAGCGAATCTGCTGTTCAAAGTGCCGCTGCGGATTTTGGCTCTGTCGCAGAAATCGAAGGACGCCAAGAGCTGCCTGCAGCTTGACGAGTGCGCCAGATTCCGGTATACGTACTTCCTGTGCAAGCGGTCGCAGGTCGACATGCGCGCCAGGATTCGCGGCAACAAGGGATACTAACCCTCGACGGATGGGACCATTGCCATCGAAGTCCCTGGACGTCCCAAGGCTAATCGGCCGGTCGCGATCCCTGCACCAGTTCTCAATCTCCAGGTTGTTGCAAAATGGAGCAGAGGTTCGAATTTGTGCGGGTTGGGCAGACTAGAATCCCTATAGGAAGGCCCTCCTGCTCATTGCGCCCCCCCATGCGAACCATGGATGTGTGCAATGCCCGCACCCTTGCCAGTTGGCCAGAGGGGCGGTTCCTAGACAGCGAGGAGCGAGGGCGGCTGGCCTCTGGGAATTTGACAAGGTGCGTTGCAGAGGGGGTGGATGCGGTGGATGCACCCATAAGGGAGGCTGAAGAGGATGCGCCCATGGAGGATTTGGCTGCTGTGGGGGAAGAGGAAGTGACGGACGGGGATTCAGCTTGCAGCTCGGTGGATGCCGCCCATATAGGGTGGAGCCTCACCGAGTCTGAGAGTGAGAATGGATGGGAAGGGGAATGGGAAGCGGAGAGCGAGGCAGGGTCGGATTTGGCTGTGCATGAAGAGGCAAGGGATGAGGAACCAAGGTGTGTGTGGAACTTTCCTGCTTGCCAGTTCCCTGGACTTTACTCGTCTGAAAGATGCGACAGATAAAGCTCTTGCACCTTGCAGGCGATGACGAGCGCAGAAGCATCCAATTAGCGTTTTACTGGTGTCCCGAAACAGTAGCTCTGCATGCTTGTCTGTGCTGTGCCTTTCCTGCAGGTCATAAATGTGCCGAAGGTAGACAGCAATGAAAGGAATCGAACCCATGCCTCTGGCCACACACTTTAGCATACCTTCCAAAGATCTCTTCGACATTGCTATCATGTGTGGGTGGACAGCTGTTGACTCCATCTTTATGTCAATCAGAATCAGCAATGTAAACCATCAGACTGGTCACCCATTGGCTGCTTCCAAATGCACAGCATTAGCTTGAGCGTATTGGGTACATTATTAGAAAATGGAATCAGACATGAAATAACTTTCTCTTGGGAGATGGGAGGGTCTTCGGGATTCCGGGGGAGGGACTCTGTGCAACAATGAACAAAAAATGCAATACATTGAGAAACACCGATCTGGAATCTATGCCCAACACCGCCTGAAAGGTGCAAGGGCAGTGTTTTGTCATGTTTATGTGACAAATGTAATCAAAGGAAGTGAGCTTGAGCGTACATTGCCCACAATTGTGCCGTGTTGGAGTTGACAGCCTCCAGGCACTGAAAATGGCCATTCCTCCAGAAAACAGCAACAGGATGCCAACGCCCCATTTGCTTGATTGTGTTCATTTGCTGCCATTTTTTTGGCACCCACAGAGCGGGGCCTTGGGCTTTGATGGCTAACTTCCTTTTCTGTCAATGCAGACAGCTTGCTGTTGCGGATTGGGAACAAGCACTTGAAGTTGTCTCACTTGACACAGAGGCAAGGGACCTACCCACACTGGAGGACTTGTGCCAGTCCTACCCCTACACATTGGACGACTTTCAGAAGCAGGCCATTTCTGAACTCCTGGCTAGAAAATCTTGCCTTGTATGCGCACCTACAGGCAAGGGATCCACACACATTGGCTCAGCATATGTGACCCACAGCGTCTTACTGCAGGTTGTGCAAGAGCAACAGTCATGCATGTGCTTGCTTGAGGTGTTCATGTGGTTAAAATGGGAGGCAAACATTCAGTCTTGCAGTGACAACTTGGGCGCAAAGCCACTGATTCAATTAGGAAAGACTGCACCACGAAGCAGCATGCACATCAATAGCGAAATAGCGTACAAGAGGATATTGCTGTGATCATGGCGGGATGACCTATATTTTCAGCGATTGCAAGGTTGTCGACCACAAACAGCAGTACTGCCAATGTGCTCTTGTGACAATGGCAAGGATCAAGCAGAAAAACAGTCTGCACATGATTTTTATGGGCATTATGCCCAATGTTCACTTCCACAGCTTGAATCTCTGTTTGTATCAAGTCCCTAGCTTTGGTTCCCTTGGTCTTCAAATGCACAAGTTGCATTTGTATTGGAAAGTCTGGGCTCTGTTACTCTTTGTGCATGAAGCAAGTGCTGTGGAACATTTTGAACAAGTGCGACCTGGAACCTGGGCACATGCACTCCCTGCTTGCTTGGATCCGTTGTTGGCGGCAGAGATGTGATGCAATTGGTGCGCTTGCTCCTGTCCTGCGAATGAGTCCTGATTTGGACAATGTTCAACTGCAGGTGCTGGTAAGACTGTGATTGCGGAGGCAGCCGCTGCTTACTTTTTTGCAAAAGGAAACAAGGTTATCTACACCACCCCTCTGAAGGCACTCAGCAATCAGAAACTGCAAGAGTTCCGGGAACGTTTTGGCTTCGATATGGTGGGGCTGTCTACAGGCGACTGCACCATCAACCCTGAGGCCCCATTGATAGTCATGACGACTGAGATATTGAGGAACATAATGTACAACACAAAATCAACAGCGTCAGGTGTGTAGTTCTTGCATTGACATGTATTGTCACAAAGTGCTCGTGCAGGGCAAGGCCCTGTGCAGTTCCATGTTGAAAACCCTGTTTCGATTGGAGCTTGTTGAGGGCCGATCGCACCAATTAGCCCAAGATTTTTTCTTTGCACCTTTTGTGTATTTGTAGATCTTCTTTTCTTGGAAAATTACTTCTTCAAGTGATTGCACCATGAAGCCCCAACCCAGACTACTAGGGAGCTTGCAGTTTCAGTGAAAGGGCTATAGCAGTAGTATGCTGTTCTGCCAAATGCCTAGAAGGAGCAGACGGGGTGCATGCAAGGGCCTTGCACAACACCTTCTAAGAAGCTCGGGTGTTGGGATTGTTCAGGTCCCAATTGTGATACACTTTTGGGCTGGCTGGGGAACAGATCTCCGTGTCAAAGAAGCGCTTGGATTTTTGCAATTTGCCTGCAGATTGTCAGCATGGACGAAGTTTGTCTCTGTGGAATGTGGCAAAGAGGTTGCTTTCATTGGTCCAGAAAGAGGCATTTGCACACAAGGTATTGCATCTAGAGTAGGGCACTGGTGGAGGCTTGCATGTCTTGAAGCGTGCCCACTAGGAAGCTGAGAATAGGTTGCTGTCCTCCACCAAATCCATGACACAAACAAGTTGAATGAGAGTGACAACAACATGCTCTGTTGACATTTGTACACAGCGAGTTATCATTTCTGATGACAGCTGCATTACCTGCATTAGGCCACCTGGCTGGAAACCACAATCGTTGGGGTTTGTCCAGTTCCATTGGAAATGGAACTGTCGCCAACTGCTCGATTGATCTCCAAAGTGGCAGTACAATAGTGTTGCTGCCTCACTGGAACGCCAGCAAACACAAATCGGGAACAGGGACTGATTTTCTACAGCAACGGTTCCAGCCAATGTCCAACGTCCGACGCTCAATATTCAGTGCCACCTGGTAGCTGCCACAACATCAATGTGCAGATAAATATAAACTTGAATATTCATGGTAGGTTAGCTTGTGGCTGCAGGTGGGATGAACGGACAAGAGAGACTGAAGAACATTGGAATGGTTGTCCTTGACGAGGTCCATTACCTGAATGATGAGCAGCGAGGCAGCACATGGGAAGAGCTCATCATAAATTGCCCATCGCACATCCAGATGTTGTGCATGTCGGCCACAGTTGCGAATCCACAGGAGTTGGGGAGTTGGATATCCCAGGTGTGGTGTGTTCCAGCAACTTGCATTCTGTCATTTGTGCTGCGATGAAGGAATGCACTTGGCTCATCTCTCCTATCAAATTGTTGATATTCAGCTTGGGAGGTAAATATGTCCTACAGCAGCTTGTCAACTTTAGTGGGTTGCAATATGTTGTAGCAAGTGCACAGCATAATGGCAATATACGGTGGCGATTTAATCTTCGTGGCAGCACTGCCTTGTATTGATTGCCATTGGCCATCAGCTAGGCAAGACATAGTGCAGAAGGAGTTTCAGGAGCAGATTCCATGTCCCAACCAAAAGTATTAATTATGTGTGACAGCATGCAGGAATAGAGCTTTGGAACTCAGCATTCTTAATTGTGGACAGTACATGACGTCATCATGTTTATGCAAGGAATGAATAGGCTTTGCTATGTTTGGCAAACAGTATCAGAACAAATTGTACTTGTGATATTGGCAATGTGACCAAAGTGGATACTGTGACCCCTCGTCTTGATAGCTGCATGCCTTTCATACCACAGAATAGTGCTTACAAGAGGGTTGGCAAGGGGAAGTGATTGTTTTGATTGCTGTTTTGCACCCTTCTCAGATCCACGGGGAGTGCACAACAGTAGTGACTTCCAAAAGACCGGTGCCCCTTCGTTGGTACTTTTGCTATGGCAATCAGAGGGCCACGTCCATCAGGCCCTTCTTCAACAAACGGAACACTAAAGTGAGCCCAGCTCTACTGGAGGAGGTGTCTGGGTGCGGCTCGCAGGCTGGTGACTACGATGCACACATTCTGGGATCGGGTGTTAATTTAGTTGGTGTAGTGTTGAATTGAACAGAAGTAGCAGTTAAACAGATGTTGAAGTAAAATGCTGCTGCAAGTGACAGGAGCTGAACAATAATTTCATTTGTGATGACGTTGTGCTGTTCAAAGTCACAGTAGTGTGCCACACATGATGTTGGCGGCATCTTGGGTGGTCCAACTCATGCCAGTTTTGGAGAAGAATGCAACCATGTGCAAAATGACATTTCACGCAGCAAATGAATCATCAATGGTCATCACAATGAATCGAATGTTCATCACAGCAGAGCCGGCAGTTGCCTCTGTGTTGTGACAGTAGCCCCAACTTTCCTTGTCAAAGCCAGTGTTGTTGGGTGTGCCAACAGCTTAAAGGGGGAGTGGAAAATTCGACTTTTAGATTTGCAGTGAAAGCAAATGGCGTAATGCAAATGGTTGCTGGCCTGCTCCACAGGTGGAGAAACCCTTTTGCATTTATTCCGCACCTGCACGGCGTTGTGCAGCGGCTCATCCAGAAAGACTTTCTCCCAGCCATCATTTTTGTTTTCAGCCGGCGGGAGTGCGACGAGAATGTGCTCCTGATACACGCAAAGGGTCTCAATCTCACAAGCAAGGCAGAGCAGAAAATTATCAGACGCGAGCTGGAGAGTTTAAGGTACACAGAATTCTACAGCTCTGGTTGTGGCTGGCTTTATTGGTGCCATCTTGATCTTGAAGCAAACAGCACTTGTTATTGCTGGATACCCAAGGAATGGGCAAACAGATGTCCAATGCTCCAGAAATGCTGTGGTAATGTTGCCTCTGAATGTGGACATAGTTCCTGTGCTTCTGCTGTGCTGTAGGGGGCAGGCTGATTTGAGTTCGCAAGCACTGGGCTATGGGCTGCAGGCAAAGCAGCACTGCTGCAGCTCTTGCTTGTTGATGGCCAATATTGGACAACTGAGAGTCGTGCCTGTGTAGATCTGAGCAGGGGGAAGTGGTTCGGGAACATCTTGTGAAGGCCCTCGTCGCCGGCATCGCATCCCACCATGCTGGATGTCTGCCAGGCTGGAAGTCGTTGGTCGAGAGACTATTCCAACTGGGTGCCATCAAGCTTGTGTTCGCAACAGAGACACTGGCAGCAGGCATAAACATGCCAGCAAGGACAACAGTGATCACCAAGCTAGCTCGGAATCGAGGGGGAATTCAGATGCTGTTGCACAACGAACTGCTGCAAATGGCAGGGAGAGCTGGGCGGAGGGGCTATGATGAAGTGGGACAGTGTGTCATTCTGGAGAGTGGGTACGTTAGCAAGTTACTTTCCCAAAGTTCTTGCATCATGTTGAGGTTCCAGGTGTGGTATCTGCCCTAACAGAAGAGGTTAGGTCTTGCAGAGAGTTCTATGTTCATCAGCTGACATGGACTGTTGACACTGGAATGCGGCATGTTGCCATCACATGCTGAATGTTTGTAACGAAGTTCTCGAATTGTGAAACCATTCCTGTGCGGAGCCCTTATTGTCTGCTTGAACCACGCAAAAAATGGAAAGAAAGAAGTACCACTGGTGTGGTGTGCAGCTACCAACAAACTGTGCCTAAGCAATGTGCAGAATGCATTAGTTTATGACAGGAGCTCCATGTGCCTCGCCCTTCACTTTCCACGGTTGCAGATGTTCGAAATATTTGAAGCAATGGCTAACAAGAATCAGGCCCCCCAAAAGGTTCAAAGGTTACAATGCGCTCCTCACCTCAGCTGGCCCTGTTTTCCCATTCTGTGGAACTGTGCCCTTGAAGTAGAGAGAAGCACTGACAGCTGAGTCCAAGCCGTCCCTTCCTCGCGCCATGCAAAGCTGTAATGCTGCACGGCCTTGTTTAGCAATCTCCTTTCTGCCAGTGGAATTGTGGGGTGCCAGTGAAACAAGTTTGCTTCATGCTTTTCCGCATCCATCAGTACAATTACATCCTGGGGTTGCGCTCCATTGCTTGTCTTTCACGCCTGCACTGCAGGTCTGTCATTTCATCGTGTGCACTCATGGTGGAGAAATTTGGCCATCGTCCTGTACATGCTGATCGTTGTGGACGAAAACAAGCTATTTGTTGTCCTCTCCTCCAATCTATGTGTATGGAACAAACATGTTGAGAGCAAATGATATTTGTGGAATTGTGAAAAAGCAGTGCTTATCATTTCAAGAAACGGTATTAAATACCATCGACAATTTTCCATCTGCTGCTTCTGCTTTTGTTGATCAAATGTTTTTCATGGTCCCAGGTATGAGGGTGTCAAGGAGGCCATGAAATTGTTTCGTAGTGGTCCTGAGCCCCTGGAGTCTAAGTTTGCAACAGGCTATTCCCTTGCACTTAACCTGTTGAGCGCGTACCCGTTGGAAGATGTGCGGCAGTTCCTTGAGAAGAGCTTCCGCAATTTTCAAACAGGCATTGGCCTTGAACTGCGAAAGGCACAGGTTTCAGAGCTGAAGGCAAAAGCTTCAGAATTGGTTCAGGAAACTGAGAGGATGGCTACACAAGAAGAACAAGCTGTATTGAAACAGTACAATCATTTAAAGGTTCGTGAAGGCGATGCAACATCTTAGATCAGGCTCTGTTATACGGAACCTCTGCACATTGGCATCTGCGTCCTCCAGTACTTGCCGATACCATGACGACCTTCTCCAATCGGCTCAATCCAGAGAAGGGCGATTGCTGACAAACACGGATGATTCAGTAATGTTCTGTTGGCACCTGATGGCGACTGAACATGACAAAAGGTCGATCCTGAATGACTTTACCCGTTGTGTTGCAAGATATCTTTTCCTTCGCTTAGGGGAGCTGATTTTAGTTTCAACAGTAGATGCAGGGATGATCTGAAGACAGATGTTCAATGGAAACTTTTCATGGGCTTTTATGGTGATGTCATTATTGTATTTGGCAGCCAGCTTGAAGGAGCATTTGCAATGCTGCGACGATCTTGTGGCAATTGCAATTCCAGTGACCCAGCAGTGCTTGCTTATGTTTCCAAGGCTGCCATTGACATGATGATTCACATGCTGCATTTGGCAGGGGAGACAAGAGACTGAACGTGAAGTACTGAGGGCCATGGTTGCGGATGCTGTAGAATCCCGGTCCAAAGAGGTCCAGCAGCGCCTGCTTGGTCTTCAGATGCCATGCCCCATTCTCCTCGACTTGAATCACAGTGCCACAGGGAAAGGTGCTCTCCAGAATGCGCTTGCTGTGCAGCTGAGGGGCGATGCTATGGGCAACAGCTCTAAGGAGATGACTGGCGACGCTATTGGTTTGCATGTTGTCACTTTGACTGCAGATAACCAGGTGTATTGTGTTCCAGTAAGACACGTTGTGGGCATCATGGAAGCGAATTATGCGCCTCCCACAGAGTGGCAAGATGTCGTGAGACTTACCCAAGAAGCACAGATGGAGGAGCAGTTCGAATATATGAGCGGTACGGAGGGCTGCCAGCAGTTGTCACGTTTGTGTGCAATTTGCTCGTTTACAATACAATTGTCAAGGGAATGTCAACTTGTTTCCTGTTCCCATAGCTCCAGCTGATCTGCTGATATGGTGCAATGGCCCATCAGAACCTTGAAGTTGCAAGCGCAGGGCTTGGATATGTACAGGCAAATCCTGCAACTTTACTTGTTGCATTTATCAAGGGACATTAGGAAGCACTGCACTCCAACGTTCCCTGCGATGCCATGCATTGTCTGCTGTGGGAGGAATGCTTCCCAATGCAGCGTTGCTCCCATGTTCCACAGGCCGCCCTGAAGACACTGTCACAGTCCTGATAAGGAAAGAAGAAATGGTTTTCTGATTGAAAAATGAAACTTCGAATGCTGCCAAACGAAGTGGCTTTTAATAATGAGGTGCTGCATTCATTGTGGCGCAGGGGGAGTGCAGAGGCTTTCTGGTTCTTTGGAAACTGCACGTGTCGCGATTAAAATTCCTCCTGTCTCAGCTATCAGTCTGGTGCCGTTCGCAGAGGAGCATGAGCGCGTGCTGGTGGAGCAAAGCAAGAAAACAAAGGATGTAAGTGGCGACTGCCTGTGCCATTGTGGCTTCTCTCACCAGTACCACCGCGCTCAACAAAGATGGTTATGGCAATCAGTGGAGCGAACACTGGGAGAGATAGGCGACCCTGCAATCCTGCGATCAGTGCAGCCCAATGTAGAGTTTCTTGCATTGTGTTTGTGACAATCGACGATCTATTGAATATGCACCAGTACAGTGGTGAATGGTAATTCATTGCACAAAATTGTTATGTTTGACTCCTTCAAATTTGCATGACCATCAAGGTAAAACCTTTGTCACTGCCAACGACGATCTTCTTGCACGGCTCTGGAAGGCCGCTTGAGGCTATGAGCTGGTTGTTGGTGCAACGGTTGCCAAAACATGCCTGTAGGTGTCCCGAGCAATCAACAGGATTGTCAAGGACCAGTCCAGAATGAAGAAGGCGTCAGACAAGGTGCGGCGTCGATTGGGGAGGGCGGAGCGCATGCTGAAGGCTGCAAAAAAGGCACAAGCGGCGCTTGTGATGCGACAATCGCAGAGCTGGCGAGACTTCAAGGGAATAATGGAGATTCTGCACGTTGCAGGTTTGCCCACAATCGCCAAGTGCCACACAGACTGCAAAAGAAGACGTGGTATCCACCAGCGATGGCTAGTTGTTCTAAACTTGAATCTCAATTTACCGCAGAACATGATTCCAGAAAGGATTTATCACTCACAGTTAAGGTGAAGCCCTTTTCTGATCAGAACCATCAGCTCACCATGCGTTCATAAGAATGTACATGGTGTGCAGTCGCTCCATGTCTGACAGTGTTTTGTGTCAGTGGCTTTGTTGTGGAGAGCGGGGTCATTGGCGTCAGAGTAGCTGCAGCGCAGGGGTATTGCACTTCGCAGACAGATCCCTGATAGATCGGCGCCAGCACTGTACGCGATGGGAGTACCCCACTGCCATTGTATGCACAGGACTGGCCACGACTGTTCTGCACGATGCTGGGGACTTGCTGTCAACCTTGAAGTCGTAGCACGTACATGGCGTTGCTGTGCCAGCCTTGTTAAAATGTGGATTGATTGCTCCATGACTGTTGTGTAATAAATTGGCCACGAAGATAAGGATTCGCTGCTGCACGTGAACTGGCCCCAGTCCCTCCTTAAGCGAACAGACAGCGGCCTTCGAATTTCAAAAACTGAACTCAAATGCCTTTCTGATGACTCGCGCTTGCGAGTGTGTAAGAAGAGGAATTAAGTCATGCAGAGGTTGCTGCGGGGCACAGGCAGAAACCTCTCGCCCGCATTTGCACCAGCTTGAAAGCCTGCGTCTTGCCAGACATTCTCATGCCAGCTCACTGCATTTCATGGGCCAATAGGGATTGGCGATATGGGATTATGAATAATCGATTCCGAACATATTATCTGCTTGGTTCCCACGCCCATCATCGCCTACCAGGTGCACGGGCTGTGTTTTGCCATTTTGTGACAAATGTAATCCGTGGATTTTGATGATGATGTGTCTTGCCCTACGCGTGGCAGGGGCGCTCGAGAGAGATACCTTGAAGATCCTTCCCTTGGGGCAGGCCGTCAGGGAGTTGTCGGGCGCCCACAACCTGTGGATGGCAACGGTCCTTACGCACTCAAGCGTGCACCAGCTCAGCCCCATGCAGCTTGCCGCGCTCATGGGAGTCCTGGCCGACCCGGAGATCTCCAGCAAGCCAAAGGCGTCCGCCTCCTTTCCTCCAGATGAGGCTGTCTGCCAGGTGTGATGGAGCAACAATGCGTCCTGCTTTGTTTGCCAAAATGCGGCGAAGTGTGCAGAAGCAGCGCGTCTGCACCTGCAAGATGATGAGGTGTGCGGTGTGGTATCAAGGGAGGAGAACATATTACTCCCCGTTCTTGTTTGCTGAATTTCGGTTCTTGTTCCGCTGGCAATGCCAGTCCCGGTGCGCGGATCAGTAGTTGGGGTTTAGGGTGTCCGAAAACAAGAACCGAAATTCAGCAAACAAGAACGGGGAATAATTTTATGCCTTAGGGGAGTAGGCGGAAAAACCGTGATGGCACAGTGAGCAGCTTCACCATCACCAAAATCCATCGATTGCATTTGATATGCAATGACAAAACGCAGCTCCCGCACCTGATGGGTGACGATGGGCGTGAAAGCAAGCAGAGTGCTTGTTCGGAATCGATTATTCGTGGTCCCACAATTGTTTCACAATTATTCACTCACTCACAATTATTCGTGTCCACACAATGGCAGACCCCGAAGGACAAGAGAATCAGTCATCCGCTCACACTCATTCATTTGCACGCAGGCCCCTTGTCCCATGAAATGCACTGAATTGCCACGAAGAATGGAATCCCCGTGGAGTATGTTCAGAAAATGTAGTGAAGAAGTCGGTCCCAACCGTCAATCCCCATATCAGTCAGCGGCGTGTGTGTGGGACAGACTGGCTGTGATGCTTGTTGCCTGAAATCCAGTCGCTGCAGACAAAGAAACTCAGAGATTGGCGGAGCACCCCTTGCACGCCCTCGGCAGTGTCACATGTCGACTTGCAAATGCTCTCTTTAAACGAGAACAGCGGTATCCTTGCCCATGTGTTCAGAGTATGGTGGCCGTTCGTCGCCGCTGCCTTCCCTGTGACTGCACAAACGTAGAGGAGCGCCAGAGCCACAACCGTATGTCAAATCCAAATTCCGAGCCTGTCCTCTCCCAAGCAGGACATTGTGGAAAATCGTGGATGGCATGACCTTTCACTGGCTTAAATTTTCCTGCGATAATTGCGTTAATTCTTTCGCATTGATCCTGGGGTGCTTGTCTGGACAGATCTTCTGTGACCTCGAGGAGGCCCACGCCCGCCTGTGCGAAGCCCAGATTATCCACAGTGTGCCAAACTTGTGCAGCGCCATGGTTGTCGACGTCCGCCTCTCAGGTCTCGTGCAGGCGTGGGCAGCTGGCTGCAGCTGGCAGGAAGTAACGGGTGGCACAAGCTTGGATGACGGGGATGTGGCACGCGTCCTGACGCGCACACTTGACCTCCTGCGGCAGGTCACGCAGCTGAGCGTATCGCCCAAGAGCCTGAAAAAGACGGCACGCATCGCATTCTCTGCTATGAACAGGAAGCCAATACGGGATCTTATTGTCTAGATGGTTGTTGTCTTCAGTATTGGCAGTACTCATCGAATGGCGAATACGTCGATTCCTGGAAAGCTGTTCTCCATGTTGGGACGCAAGCTAGATTGTGGGGTGGATAGGCGTGTGGCCCAAAGGCAGTAGAGGCCGCCGTGTGTGCGCGACTGCACATGGAAACACTGTTCAAAAGTCAGGCACTGTTGTTTTGACAGGATATTATTACATTTCGATTGGCCTGCAATGTGCCAACAGACTGATGCATACGACAGCATCGCGGCACTGAAGTGTGCGACGACGGCTTGCATGAGAGGACTGCAACGCCACAGAGCTGTCATGCCAGTAGTCACACCATTGTTGGTTGCTGTCATTCAAGGTCTTTGGATGTCCCATTGGATTTGCACAAGAAGCCACGGCAAGGGCAAGCACAGCACGCATGGTATTATCGATTCGTCGTCGAAATTAAGTTGGACGAAAAAACAAAGGACACAAAACACTATGATCCTAGCCGCTGCGCCTGCCATCACTTGGCAATACTTTGAAATATTAAACCCTTCCGCATCAGAAAATTTCACCGTTATGCTTATTGCTCCGCATTTTGTTTTTCAGAGCGTTATTTCTATTTTTTTGACGTTGCTCCGCACAGAGAGGCCAAGATTTGCGTTACTATTTATGTTATTTTCTCCGCAAAAAATGACCAAGCGTTGCGTTACTGTGCGGAAGGGTTTAACATTTTACAGTAATCTTCCAGCCCACAGGAAGCCTTAAGTAAGTCACACCAAGTCACACCAAGTCACCGCAGCCTACACTCTTACTTGGCCGATCTGGCACCCAAGTGTCAAGACCATTGTCACCACGCGGCTCCAGTCCAATCCACACTTTTTGGCACCACTTTGTCTTTCAGTGGGCCACCAGTGAGAAGCTCCCCACGCTGCACCATCGCCTTGAATATGTCGCGATTGACCTTGACGATCTGTACCTGTTCACGCCCACTTTGCGCACCCTTTAGCAACCCTTCTGGAACTTCCCCATCCCCACCATCTTCTGCCATTTTGAGCCCGTACATCAACTTCCCATTGTCTCCCCTCCTGGCGACATATACCTGACCATTGATCGTGCCAAGGCCGTATGCCTTTTCTGCCGCCGCCACAATCTCGTCGTCACTTGGCCATGTGTCGAAAAACGGGCGAGGGTCGTACACCTTTTCCTTCTTCTTCCTCGGCTCACGGAGGGCACTTTTTGGCACATAACCCCATTCGTCATAATAGTCCTCTCTAGACCAGGATACGCCTTCTTGGGCTGCCTTAGCAGCAGCTCTCTCTGCTCGCTTGGCCCGCCTCTTTTCCGCTGCAGATGGGCGATCAGCTGCCCTTCCGGGCGTTTGCTGCGGCCTTTGCACCGCAAAGCTGTTCTCTTCCTTGACAAAGCCCTCTTCGTCGCCAAACGTCCCTTGCATTAGTCGACTTTTGTCTGTCTTTTCAACGCCTGCTTTGTCGCCTTCTTCCCCATGCCCGCTGATTGGAGTTCTGTTCTGCAAGGGTTTCTGATCGTCTGCATCTGGGCTGGTGCCACTGCCGCTGCCATATCTGCCATCTTCATCGTCATCTTCACTTGAAGATTCACTGCCCTTGGTGCCACCTTCATCTTCTCCATCGTCGCCTGAAGAATCACTGTGATCACCATTGTCACTGTCACTGCTGGAATCCTCTAAATCTGATACATCACCAATTTCTTCATTCTCCAGTTTCCTGTATGCACGCTCCAGCTCTGCGATTTTTGCATTGGTGAATTCGTCATCGTCACTAACGTCATCATCATCATCAACACCACCCCCCCTTTCTCCACCCCCAGCAGAGCTGATTTCATCGTCAAAGTACTCCTCGCCTGCAAAGTCATCCTCATCGTCATCATCAGATAAAGAGTCGCTTCCAGAATCCCCCTCCTCTTCACCTTTCCTCTTCTTGTACTGCTCTATCTTTTCTTTCAGGTAGTCTCCCCACTCCCCCAGTTCTACAGGTGACAGCTCATCCTGGGATGATGAGTCAACCCCTTCACCGCTCATCGGCTTCCAATCTGGGCCATCAGCAGAATCTGACTCCATGGCCCCAGAAACCTTGGTAATGATATCTTCAGCCTCCATCGCCAAAGGGACAGCTGCCGTGGCTGCAGCAGCCCCACCTAGGCCCACATTTCGCAAGTTGCTTCGCCTTTTTGACCCAGTCGGATGATCACTTGCAAGGCCTGTGCCCCGGCGCCCTTGCCCTCCGTTTGCTGCCTTTCCCTCTTCGAATTCATCGTCAGATAAGTCGTTCTCCATGGAATGAGTTTTGCGCCAATAACCTGACCTGCGGTCCTTTTCGCCATGCCTGCCATATGCACCTACCCTCCCACTGACTGTCCCTGCACTGGGCTCTTCCAAATCATCATCCAACAGGTCATCATCATTTGCACCATAATGCTGTGCATGCCTCCTCGTGCCACCCCTCCCCAACGAACCTCTGGGACCATTCTGGCTGCCACGGCGATGTTCACTTTCAAAGCCTCCCCAACGCCCCTGCCTCTGCTCTCTGCCCCTACCCTTTCCCCCGCCAATCCCCCTCCTGCTGCTCAAATTTCTGCGCGATCCTTCACTGTCTTCATCATCAACAGCGCCGTTCCCATATTCCCATCGGTCAGACTGGCGGCCGTTGCCTCTGTTGGATCTGGAAGTAGAAGCCTCATCGCGAACCCTGCCTCGGGCCCTTCCTCTCCCCCTTGCCCTTCCCCTCTCTCCTCCCCTCCCTCTAAAACTTCCTCTTCCACGCGCATCCCCCTTACCATACGAGCCAGTTGCCAGGGCTCGTCGCTGCTGTTTCCGCCAGTCCATTGTGGGCCTCTGAACCCACAAATACATCCAGTGTGATGGCCCACTTCGCCACAACGAGACTTTCCCTGATGGCGCAAATTCACCTCTGGATGTGCTTCCTTGCCGGGGTGGCACACAGGGAGACAACCCAGCTTCCCTTTCCGCCGGATCGCAATGTTTGGCAACGGGTTCGACATGTGATGGGGGCCCAAGAGTTCCACGGGGACCATGGGCATCACTGCCACAAGCTTCTGCCCTCAAGGGCTCCACACTCGAATCTGATTCCCAGTGGCTGCGCTGCCCGCTGTCCTCGCTTGCGCCAGCCACGCAGGCCGCGGCGGCCCCATTGCACTGGCGGGCATCAGGCCAACCCGTTGGCCAGGAGGCTGATTCCACAGCGAGGGTCCACGAATTTCTGAGACCGGCGAAGCGAGCCACTGATCTGACGGCACCGCGCGGGCCCCCGAGAAACGCCGCGTTCCAAGCCCCCATGCTCCTGGACCCACAGCCCCCGCGCTGCAACTCCGTTCGCGGCGTCCAGTCCAGCAGCCTCGCCGCACCGAATATCTGCCAGAAACAAACCGTAGTTGTCATCGGAAGCGTCTTCGATACAGGTGGCGTGCGCTATGGTTAGGTTTGTTTGGGTTTCCTTGTTTCTTTTCCAGGGCTGTCTTCGTTTTTCTTAGGTTTTCAGTGTTGATTTAGGGTTGTTACGTTTGTTTATCTGTTTCAGGTTTCTTTTTAGGTATTATTTTAGGGTTGGTTGTTGTTTTTTTGGTTTCTTTTGGTTTTTTTTAGGGTTTTGGTTTGTTTTAGGGTTTAGGTTTGTTTGGACTAGGGTTAGGGTTTTTTTAAGGTTTGCGGAGGGTGCCCTCCTCTGCGCACCCCTCGAAACTTGCGTATCTGCGGTTGTGTCGCGCTGTTGGGACCACTGTCCCCAGCCGGCTGACCCCAGCCCCGCCGACGCTTCGGCAGGCGGCTGCGCACAGCCGCTGGAACCCCCCGTCGCCATGTCGTTGAACAGGTTTTCGACTTCGTCTCTGCATCAGCAGGCCATCAGGCCGGTCGGCAGGGCGGCTCGAGGGGCCCCAGTGAGAGTTCACGCGGGGGCGGCGCTTCCAGCAGAGGTGAGCTTTTGGCACGGATTGTTTTTGTTTTTGTTTTCTTCTTTCTTGCTGCGGGCAGTGCACCTTGGCGCCGGCGAAAGTTGATCATGCTGCCGACGTCTTATTGGTCCCCGTCGGGTGTGGACGGCGGCGTTCGGGGATCGGCGGTATTGGGAGTGTTGGCGTCCGCGGTGGCCTCAGCTGATGGTTCTGTTTCGGGTAGACAACCCTGAACGTGGGGATCAAGGAGGCTGGACGTGTGCCCATAGTTGACTACTGCGGCGCATTGGAACTTTTGCCGGGAAAGTTGAACGTATGAACGGAAGTTGTGGGCGTATCGCCTTCACGCTTGCTGCGTGCCGAAAATGCAGGCACATCTTGCAACGGAAGACGCCCACGTGCTGCAGATATGTCGTTGATGTATGCATATCTGTGTTGCATTGGTGAGCGTATTCTTTCGTGAAACGGTGTTTTAACGTGGGTTCTCAAAGCCCCTATTGTACTTGGAACCATCAACACTGCAGATGCCCTTGCTGCGAAGTAACCCTTCTGCCCTGCCCCATGCGGCTTCATGTTGCGGCTTTCAGAAGTGCTACCCAGCCATTGGCTGGTGTGTGCCCCCTGTCACGCCCACTATAATGTGTATCTGTGTCTCATGGATGTGTCAAATCCGGAAACACAAATGAGTGCGCCATCAATGGAATCGGCACAATCTGCTGAAATCCACACTGTCTGTGCTCACGCAGTACAAGACGGTGACACCTCTGGGGCAACGAGTATTCGTGAGGGTAGATTCTGCTGATGCCACCACCGTTGGAGGTATAATGCTTCCGTCTTCTGCCCAGAAAGCCCCAACTCAGGGTGAGGTGGTGGCCGCCTTCCAAGACAGCAATGTGAAGGTGAACTTCATCCAAATAGCTATCCACTGGCAACAGGGTTTGTGGTTGGCCAAGCCCATGTCCTGAACCGAAATGAACTGATGTTCATTGCAGACAACATTGTTAAGAAAGACGATCACAAAGTCCTGCCGCTCTGGGTGCTGCTCAAAAACAATTGTTTTCCGATGCTCATGAAGGAAAACAACCAGCTTGTGTTACTACAGAACACAGAATTGGCTTGGCAGCAAAAGCAGCTGGATGTGTGGGCATGAGGTTGCTTGAGTATTTACTGCACCTGGTGTTGGCAGGTCGGAGACCGCATTGTGTACAGCAAGTATGCTGGAACAGAGGTGGCAATGGATTCGCAAGAGCATGTGTTGCTGAAGGTGAATACTTGCCTTAACATCCATGGAATTTAGGGTAGAAATTAGGGTATTGTAATAGTGCATACACTTAAGTGCTTGTTGTTGCTCATGTTGTGACAATTGTAGTGCAATTCCTTAGATTGCGTTTGTCAATATGGACAGGCCACAATCGGACAGCTGTGTGGCGATTGAAGACAAAGCTGCATATCTATAGTATTGAAATGTTCTGAACTTTGTGCATATGCTCAATTCCTTGAATAGAGCAAGCCTGTAACGATGCTCCCACATCATGCATGTGATGCCAGGTCCGAGGAATCTGCCACTGTCACTCTTGTCTGGGAAACATCTGCACGACTACTGAGACTGCTAGATGTCTACTGCCATTCTGTTCTTAGAGTGCACATGCATTCAGAGCCACCTGTCTTTGGTCATCCTCATGTTGCCTTTCAGCTGGGAAAATCCTTGCCTTTATGATTCAATGAAACCTCCGTCTATTACAACGTCCGCAAATGCCAATCATAGGGTATGTGTGGGTTTGGCTGCCCTTTGTTGTGTGGACTAAGAACAGCAGCACTGGCACAGAAATATTGTGTGATTCGTATGAAACAGGAGGAGGAGGTTGTGGGCATCATGACGTCAGCAGATGTAAAGGCACTGGCGCCTGTGGCTGATAGGATTCTGGTGGAGGTGAGCCTGGCTGTATCTATGTCCTGGTGTCAATAGCGTATGCAAGCACCACGAGCCAATTTTGCTCAAACGCTGCAGAGTGTTGTTACGTCTATGTGATTCATTTGATACCGCATACAACTCATATACCAGAAGCACAAGGTGCCCTTATTCAAAAGGTACCAAGTTCAGGAACCAACAGTTATGCATAAGCCACAGGAGGACGAGGTACTCATAGAAGTTTTTCTGTGTTCCAGAAATGTCAAGCCCAAAATGCATTTGGCCAGCATTTTTCCGTGGCGTTTGTGAATTGGGACAGGTCTGGCATTTCGTTGTGTATCATTCAGCATGTGACTGGAGCAGATTTGATAGACCCAATACTAGGCTTGTCATAGAAATGCTTACAGTGCTTTCTCAGTGCCATCACAAGTTCGCTATTGTGGACATGTTTCAAGTGAACAATACAGCATCCAAGCATGCACTTGTCGAACAGTCGCAGATAATGCCTACATTGTGTCGTCAATGTGGTGGGCCTGTGTTCAGGCGGATTCAATCACCTACCTACCTGGACCACAAATTTGTCCTTTGACCAAAGAATTTGTTGTGTTGTTCACTATCTGTGCCTCACTGGTGCAGTGATACTCACAGGAATATACCAAATACCCACTTTTGGTTACTCTGCCCCTTGCGAAAGTGTTTCCTGGAGTGCTGATTGTGTAGCTCTGTGCTGCTGGCACCCACGTGGTCCTTGGCGTCCTGCCATTGCTGCTGTGGCAAAGTTGTCCTTTATCAATTGTAACAAGGAGAGATTTTAGGTGGAACGACAAGCATTCAGCATCCCGGTGGTTGGCTTGCACATAAAGACAGCATGAGGACTCTTTTGAAATGTGGCAAAAGGCCCACATCCCTGCAGCAAGCAAGGGATGCATGTGGCGCAATGTGTATGTGTGTGGCGCAATGATTTCTGAATCATTTTGAGAGTTTAAGAGCTGCTCGCTTGCTCAGGTGTCAGATGTCGATGCTGCCACCTCAGGCGGTGTGCTTCTCACAAGCGGTGCACAGGAGAAACCCACATTCGGAAAGGTGTCGTCTGGTTCTCCAGCCAAGTTTTTGCTTGTACCTCGTGGTGGTGGCGAGATTGCCACGTCCGTAGCCTTGATCCAATATCCCTCTTACTGCTGTGCCTTGACATGCAACTGGACTGCCTCAGATTAGTTGACAACCCAACACAGCTGAGTTTGACGGGGGCTCGCCTGTGCTTTAGGCGTTCCTCGTGGTGTGGCGAGCATGGGGTTGATTGGGGGGTAGTTTTGGGCCAAAGCACTGCTGTTCTTTGTGTGGCACACTCCTCGTAGCTATGAATGGGGGGGTTGCCAGGCATCAACGAACCTGGTGCTCACCACCTGGGCACTTTTTGGTGAGAACTCGGTCCTCCGCCAGCGAGCTTCTGCTGTGGCTCCCGGCGACAATGATGCTTCCCAGCAGAATCAAACATTAGGAGGGAGGGTTTGTTGTCTTTCAGAAACAGCGGCTGACAAGCAGTTGTGTTCCAGGTGGTTGCCGTGGGACCTGGGAAGAAGGGTGAGAATGGCGAAGTAACCAAGCCCGATGTGAAGATTGGCACAAAGGTCCTGTACTCCAAGTACAGTGGCATTGAGTTCGAGGTGGGCAGCAAGTGGAAAATACGCTTGGAAATGCAGTGACCGTGGTCCGCAGTCAGCCTCCACGCGCTTCTTACTCAACACTTTCGGTTTTGCTTTCCGCTTACCTGGCAGCGATGCTTGCCACCTGACACCTGACATTAGCAAATACGTACGGACCAAGAGAGGCTGCATTCCAAAAGAGCGAGTGGCTCCGCATCAGCCGCAGATTCTCTATCTAGAATGATTCTTATCTACTTTCTCTGCATACTGTTGTGGAGATACTGGATTGCGAAGCAGATCGCGTTTCTGTGGTATTTCCTGCACCACGAGCCTCCAAATGCATCGCCGCTCACGTGCTTTGTGCTGGCTTGTTTGGTCCTGCGTTCTGTGGTTCATTCAATAAAGAAAGTAGCGTATTTTTCATAGTTATGAGTTTGGCATGTGCTGGCGTCAGGACAATGACAGGAAGTACATCGTGATTCGGGAAAACGACATCCTGGCGGAGCTTGCCTGAGCTGTTATGAGGAGAAGTTGGGTGGTGTGCTACTGCGGCGAAGCTGGGAGATAAAAACCAAAAGAATGGGCGATGCAGAGGGGCAGTCGCACCATCACCCATCACCCATGGGAACGGCAGCCGCGCAAAAGGTCATTTAATGAAGGAACTCATTTTATGTGCTTCTAAGGCTGCATTTGTGCGTGGCCATATTTCTGTGTGCCTCACCAATAATGAAATCAAGCAATAGTGCATATGAAGTGGAAGTAGACACCAGATCTCTACTTCGCACGAGCAAAACAATGTGCATAATGTATATGCAACATTCAGCACGGATTTGATTCCGCTGACGTTAATGCCTAGTGGATTCCTTGATTTGCATCGAAATCTAGTGGGCTCATGACTGGAGGCCTGAAAATGGGGTGCAAAGGTCCCGTGGATTCGGAGTTAGATAAACTGCCTTTCAACCCATCTGTACAATGGAAGTATTTTCACAGGACACGATAACTACAAAAAGCCGCTGAAACAAGGATCTTCTCGCAGTCTCAACCATCTGACACATCAAAAGCGCAAGCATGGCAACTGCGTCTCCCATCAAACCCCTGATCGTCGCGCGCTGCATGCCTGCTGCCGAACAGCCCTTGACGTCCCATGCTCAACTCCCCCAATAGGCACGCCTGTTGTGTCTATTTTCGGCAATCAAGGCCTTGCAGGTGGGGTGGGATTGACACATTGCCAGGGCATGTGAAGTCATTTCCAGATAGGACCACTGCTGTTCCTGGAGGGAAATTTGTCCCGTCCAAGATGAATTCCGGGACGTCACCCGTCAAATTGTTGTTGCTTAAGTCCACAAACGGAAGGCGACCAGTGTCCAAAGCCGTTCTAGTCACGATGCCCACTGACTCCCACTCATCCGGGATGGGCCCGCTGAACGAGTTATTCGCCATCTGTATCCACCACGTCTTCACGAACAGGTTTTCCTCAGCGGGGAGCGGTCCGCCAAAACTGTTGTCGCTGATATCAAGGACTCTGAGTTCAGGCAGCTGGGCCAGCACCAGAGGGAAGCCACCCTTCAATTTGTTTTCGCTCAGCCTCAGCTCCCTCAAGTTCGTTGACAACCGTGCCCCCTCCCCGTCCATCCACTCGTCAGGGAGTTTGCTGAACCTGTTGCCATCCAGCGCCACCACCCTCATGATGTCGCCTTGGGCAATGCTGGAGGGCACCTTCCCAGTGAGCCTGTTGCCCTGAAGGCTAACGATGCGGAGGACGTTGGAGCCGAACAGGTCATCGTCAAGCTTGCCTGTCAGGTCATTTTGCCGCAAATCGAGCGACATCAGTTTCGTCAGATTCGCAAGCGACTTTGGGACCTTGCCTTCGAGTCGGCAGTCTTCCAAGGATATCACCTCCAGGGTGGAGTTCAAAGTGATGACATCGGGTATGGTGGAAGACAGGCTGTTGCCGCCCAAGTGGAGCTCCTTCAGGGTGGTCGAGTCGTCGAACAGGCAGTCTGGAAGGGCACCAATCAGCCCATTCCGCTCAAGATTCAGGACGGTCATATTCCTCCTGGCGAAGCGGCATACCGGCACTGAATTGATGCGGCCATCGATGAGATTGTCCGTAGCGCGGAACTCGTTCAGATTCCGAAGAGACTGCACAGCGATGAACACAGAAGTGCGATTCAATGCTCCATATGTAGAACAGCGAAATCGCAACAGAGCAGAGGTGCTCACTATGACTTTGCAGAATGACACAATGGTGCTTCAGAACCCCATACAACAGCCCGAGTTATGCGCCATGGCAACAGCAGGCTAGGACACGGCACTGCAAGGCACCATGAATCCTGACTTTGGTTACTTAGTTTCTGTGTGGTGCAGCTGTACACTCCACTGCACATTGGATCTGACACCTTGGGCAATGGAAATCACAATCAAGTGGCTACATTGAGGCCAATGTGCACAGCAAAGAAAGCACAAGCCCACTCTCAACAAGTCCCCAATCTGGACTCACAGCACTCATATGTGCAAGCTGGATGGCTGGGCTATCGCCAACACCTCGACGGAGGACCAGAACCTTTGGTAATCAATTCTGTTGTCACGTCCCACAATGAATGATAACTTGTCAGTCATGGCACTGGAACACATGTTCACCACATTCTAATTCAGGGGTATGGAGGTGCCCTGGGAAGAATGGCCAGAATTTGCATCATGAGAACCAATGTGGAAATCAATGCTTTCCTTCACTGCTTGCCACAGCACCTTGCACGACATCGTGTGCTGTGTCATGTCATTTGCTAACAGCGGGCCAATAACGCCCATATGCGGAACAGGGCGCGGCATCTCAACGGTCTTCAGGGAGTTCTATGTCTCATTGGGGATTCATATTTGTCACATGCACCCCGTTCATGCGACAAAAACAGGAGCATGTGTTGTTGGTTGGCGGAAGCCTCACGAATGCAAAGCAAGCAACGGCCTGGGGCGACCCAATCCTGCACCCCACGCCCCATCCCCCGCCCCCCCTCGATTCCAACCCGCAGCCCAGAACATGGCCAATCCGCTGCACTCAACCCACCGTCAGCCCCGCCAGGATGTCCTCGACGTCCCCCCTCAGCGCGTTGTGGCTCACATCCAGCTTCTGCAGCCGCGGGAACTTCTTGAACTCGGCCACCGGCATCTCGCAATCCAGGCCCCAGCCTGCCATGTTGATCCGCACCGCGTGGCCCTCCGCGTCGCACACGCTGCCCGGCACGTGGCACAGGTCCAGCGGCGCCTCCGTCCCGTCGCCGCCCCCGAAGAGCTGCTCGCTCAGCGCCCGCCAGGCGGGGCACCCCCCCAGGGCGCAGCACTCCCCGAAGATCGCCTCCACCGCGTCGGTCTCCCGATCCACCAGGCTCCGGGTCTCGTGCACGACGTCCAGCTCCAGCTCCACGCTCGCCGGCGTGTCCGACATCGCCCAAATCGCACACCAGATGTCCGAGAACAGCTGCACGCCGGACTGCGTGTTGGCCGCCCGCACCTGGGCGTTGAACTCGGTGTGGTTGCGAGAGATGAAGACGTAGTCCGCGCCCGAGGTGTGGTTGGAGCGCCAGACGGCGTCGCTGATGAAGGGGCCCTGCCGCAGGTCCTCGCTGCCGTCCTGCCGGAAGGGCCGGCAGAAGATGTCCGCCAGGCCGCCCGCGTTGGACACGCTCATCGTCAGCAGGATGTCGGGGAACTGCGTGTCGCGGCGGAGCACGGAGAAGCCGAAGGTAATCGCCTCGCCGAAGATCGCGACCTCCTTCATCGGGATGCCCTTGGCCAGGTCTTCCGGAAAATCCGGCCCTGGTGCGAGGGGTATTATCGACGGGGGACCTTCCTCACTTCCAGCGTCCTGGGCCAGACGCCTGTGGGGCCTGCCGTTTACGCAAGCCAGAGCCGCCAGGCACACGACCATCAGGCAACAAGGCCGCGGCATTGTGAGCACGGCGCCTTCGAAAGGAGAGGCGTGCGGACCGCACGGAGGGGGCGGCGGGGGTTGGCAGGCGCGCCGAGCGTGGAGGCGCTGGCCGGGGGCGAGGAGCCCCTCGGGCCTTTGATGGTGGAAGGGTGAGGGCAGGTGCTGGGACTGCAGTTGCGGTGAGAAGCAAGGGGGGTCAAATCAAGCCGTCGAAGGGGTGCGTCACGTCGCGCAAGCCGGGGTCAATGCGGCCGAGGATGTCCAAGGTTTTGGGTGCGCAAGTCGGTTAGACGAGATTTGCGCAGGAGCTTCAGCAGGGGAGCGAATGGGAAGCAGGTTTGGCAGCCGATTGCGAAAACTTGCGGAAATGGTGTGGGCATGTTGCCGGTGGACTTCGGTTTGGCCAATACTAAAGCCAATAGTAAAGCGGTGTTCGCGTGAGCCACCCATTTTACGACAGTGGAGCAGGCACACCCTATCGTCGATCGTGGGCAGCGATTCGATGCTCAAGAGCCAAGCATCCTGCGAAGAAGTGCAGGTTACGCATAGCAGGCAAGGAAATAGGGCGGGAAAATTCTATTGAGTCAACGGTGAGTCTGCTGGCACTGCTGCTCGTCTTGCCGGAGGAACGCACGGGCTGTGGCGCCAAAGACCCTTGGGGCCCAAAAAGCGTGACGGGACGACTTTCCTTGGCTCCGAGTGAGTCGCGAGTGGCGGCGCCGCCTTAGGAAGCTGTCCGGAGCCATACTGCATTTCGTTTTCTCTCCCTCCCGCTCGCCTCTGTATTTTGGTTGTTATGATGGTATCTTTTTGATATGATTCTCGATCTTAGTGTTTTCTGGGACCGAAAAAGGCAACACTCACATTGGGGTGAATGCACTCAACAGAGGCACATTTAGTTGTGGGATGTTTGGACGTTGGACTCTGGTATGTGTGGATGCGTGGACATGGGTTATGGTATCTGTCGCGTGTGCTACGAGTTGGGAAAAGTGGTTCTAATTGCTTTTCCAGCGTGTGCTGCAGGGCTGAACGTAATCGACATGGATCGTGTGCTGCCACGATCGCTCGGCGTGCCTATGCCTTTATATTGTCTTATGTCCGCTCAGCACCATTGCGGCGCGATCGCTGGGCAGCGCACCACTTTACGCAGCTGTACGCTCCTTTTGGTGCGTTCCAGCATGCCGTGCGGCCGTGATTCATAACATCACGCGCCTCTACGGCACAGAATCGTATGTGGCTGTGCGTCGACCTTATCACAGGCCGTGCAGCGCTTTCTTCAACGCGTTGTGACGACGTTGCGCTTTTCAGCGACCCGCACGGCCTGTTCAGCCAGCTGCTCAGCCCCTGCTTTGGTTTCCACCACAGAGAGCGGGAAGAAGACCTAGGCGCGGGGGGATGCGTGTTGCATGCCGCAAGGCGCCATGCCAGGGTCGGGAGGCACAGTTCAGATCGCAAAGTTGGGGTCTGAGGCCCTTACAAGGCATTGATACAAGCACAACTGCTTCCAAATATAACCATTATATTCGCAGCTGCAGTTCCAGCAGTTTGGTCAAAGCGAAGAGAGAAATTGGAAGGGTTTCTGGAAAGGGTTCGGTTCCATTGCCCACCCGTTTTCATGCCTTTCCTGCCCAGTATTTACCAGCTTCCGTATTCCCCAGCCTGTTTCATGTTCGCAACTCACGAATTGCTCTCCTTCACCTTGATGCTTGCGGCCTGCACTAGCAGCCCCTTTATTCCGCAATCACAGCTCGTAAATGTGAAACTCTGGGTGCTGACCACTCGCTTGGGGCTGTCCACCGACAATGGGCACAGAACAAACTTTCAAAGAAAGACATGTTCTTTCTGCTAGAGTTGTCAACTTTTCTTCCACACCACTTGCAACCGACGACGCCACAACAGGCATCCAATCATTCCCCTAAGATTTGTTACACGACTTCCAGCGTTCCGCAGTAGCTGTAGCATCTTGAAAACCCAAGCGAAGTTGCTACAAACGAATGGGGTCAGCGTACGGTGATCACGCAACACTGTGGTCATTCGGGTACATTGCGATACGATGGCCACCCCCGCGGCCGTCACTGTTGTAGGTAACGTGGAAAACAACGAGCAAGAAATGGGATGCGAGCGACCGACACAAAACACTGTTTTGGAGCAGAATGATATAATTTTGGGTACTTTACAGTACTTGCTTGTACAAGCTTGTCCTGAAAGGGTGTTAAGACAGCTTGCCAGCACCAAAGTGGCTTGGGTTATTTTCTCAAAACCTCTCGCGTATATCAGATGAGCCAGCTGGAAGTGATGAACAAGCAGTGTACATCAAACAAGCGGACCGAAAATGAACTGGATGTGAGGGATGATCTGTTCCGAGGGGGCTGAAAAGGTGCCAAACACGCGATGCCAGCACACAATCATTTGGGATGGTCTGCAATGTCGCAATAGTACACCGTTAGACCATGGCCTCACAATCGACATCCACGCAATGTACGCACGCACTATCAAATCATTTTCGCAGTTTATACCAGGCCCTCCAGTTTCTGCTCGCCCACGCAAGATATCACTCGTGCTTCATGTGAACAATGGGGCAGGCAGCACAAGTCGCTGGTCAGTGAATTTTTGCCGCGGCAGAAACACTGGCGAAACAGGACCAAATAACACATTTGCGAAAACACGTAAAACGCATTTCATCAAGGTTCTGCACGCTAAGAACGCAGAAATAGTCCAAACCTGTAAACTTTGCACACGTTTGAGCACGTGCTATTTGGCCCTTTTTTCCTGGTGAAACATGAACATTACGGACAGTTTCTACCCGTCACGAGTTCCCGGTAATTATGTGCAACTGGAGTAAAGCACATTCATGAATAAGATTACTCTGTGCTCCGTCTGGCCACTCGGAACCAACTCCTGTAATCCTCACCTGAAGTCTAATGCAGGGCAACTGGGTGACATTTCAGTCACCGATTTGCAGTGCAGCACTTCAGAAATGGAGGTACAGCGCCTGGCACAACATCTTCCCAATAATTTCGGCTTCTATGCTAACAACCGGCTCTCCTGGGCCTCGATCATGCGCAAAGCGCACTGGCAACAGTAGCCAATACAATGATATTCTACGTTTGAATTATGTTAGGCACCACGCTATGTGGATCTCGGCACGCTCGTCAAGCCTCAAACATCAAATTGGCGCTAAGCTCAGGCCCCCTTACGTAAATCCTTATGTCGTTTTTGGAACGATTGGGAAACGTTTGACCAAACATTTACCAATCGTAACACCTAATAGCGCCCCGCTACCTGTCACCAGAGATCTGTGGTAACTGTGGCCCCTTTCCAGAAAAGGAGCTTCCACGTGGCATGGGGAAGGAGAAAGTGCATTAAACCAAACCAAACATCCACAGCTCTAACAACAACAAAGGATTGGACAACGGGATGCTTGAAATGACGGCAAGGCGATGGCGGCACCTTTGGCGCCCGTCCATTGAGCCATTTGGGGCTCTCCGTGAAGATCAAACGCTCAAGGATGTTTTTCGAATCAGTCATGACCTGATTGCTGCTGACCGGCGGCGGTTTCAGGCCTCGCCTTAGCTTGTGCCGTTGTTGTGGCGAATTCGCAATTTCTTAGCGTCACAAGTTTCGAAACACCTCACTGCTGGCGTGGATGTGACGTCAAACCTACCAAATTTAACCCAATTGTCAGATATTACGAGGGGGATGTTGTGTAAGATTTATTGCACTTCAAAGAGAAAAAGGAGTCATGCAAGCCTTGACCACCCGTGAAGGTGTGCTGCACAGATCGGCTAGCCCACATTCAAACGCAGTCATGTCACCAACAGATCCAAAACTGCCAAAGGGCCAGCTGACAGGAGATGCTGCTGCCGGCAACTGACAGCAGATTGCCCAGCACATCGCCAGCATGCACCCACGTCCTCCAACAAGGGAAGTTATCGACTGCGCTAATGCCATTGGTGCAAAGAACGCGCTGTCAGCAAATGTGTTCCTTGTGATGGAAGCCGGTTGATCAGGTAGCACATTGGTTGGCTCAAGCAGACACTGGTAGAAGAAAAGCACAATGCTGTGCAACGCAGCATGCCACCCCCGTTCCGCACTGTGACACAAGGGATTCGTCAGCCCAACAATGGCTTTCAATCCAGTACAGCTTATTCGCAGCTGTAGTTCTCGCAAAGAAAACCGACAATGCACCCAACGCATGTTGGTGGTGCCTCAGCGACAAATCTCGTTCCATGGACTTGCTCCTACCTCGAGACACTCATGGCCGAGTTCACCAACCGTGCTTCAGGCAGCTGGAAGAGGCTGCTCAGCGTTCGCTTCACCAAAATAGCGACACCCCATTTCCACAGCCGGCGAACGCCACTTCAACGACACGCATCTGCGGCAATGACATTACATTGCGACACTATAGCATTTCCAACTCTGCATTTGCGCTCGTCCGCCGCAGAGAATTTGGACGACAAGCAATCCACGTCAAATGCAACCCAAGCTCGCTGGAGAACACACTGGTCCATACGACCAACATCTCCCAATATACCTCTAAAGGCAGACAGAATCGTCCCTCACATGCTGCACAATGGTTTCGTTAATCCTATGATACCCAAAACAGAGCAATCAGCATCCAATCAACACCAATCTCTGTGGTTCAGTCATCTCGAAGATCCACTTCATTGCAGCTGGAACAGTACGGCAATGCAGTGCCCTTGCTCTCGCCGGCAAATGCTCGACGTTCCCTTTCCTTGAGTAAAAGCAATAACCACCGATGGCACAAAACGCTGGAGCCTCCTTGGAGCAAGAAAACTCGTTTCCCCTTGGTCTCGCATCTGAGTGGCCTTTCAATAGTCCACCCATCCGTACTGTTTCATCTCTGACACGATGCCAACACATAAAGCCCATTGGGTCAAAGCCCATTTAGTCCACAGTAGTCCCACCTGAAGTAATCAATCTCTGAATCGTAAGAGTAGCACATGAACAGATTCCCTCGCGATCGGCCAAAGATCGAAAACGGCCTGACAAGCGTGTACCCCATATTCTCTTTGGAGACGTTGGTATTCTCAAAAAAGTATTCCACCCACGCACCATAGTACGACCGTGCAAGCATTGCGTCTGTGATATTGTATGGGTGTTGCACGGGCGGTCGGACGAATATGAGATCCAGATCCGCAGCCTCCAATTCTGCGGAAATCGCATTGTTCGCCAGGTCCACAAGTTTCAGCTGGTTCTCTAGTGGATAGTCCATTGCGAAGGTCCCCTTCACGTCCCTGATCCAGTTCATGCTGTACACATAGTGCACAGTCTTGCCTGGCAGCGAGCAAGCCTGTGCCATGTCGTGAAATTCATCGGGAGTACAATAGTCGCACAAACTGGACCAGCTAATGCTCCGAGGCTGTGCAGCCAAAATGTCAACATGGGTTTCAGGGGTATCTGGTGCCACAGCCTGGAGGTTGAGGTCGATCTTCACTTGTCCAGAGACACACATCCGTTGCAGACGTGTGATCCGGCTCCTCAGCCGCCGATACACTGCATTCATGACTGACCCTGTGATGATGTGGTCCTTCATTAGGCCTCTGTCATCGTGGACCACCCACAGCGCACTCTCGTCCTTGGCCACGTGTGCCATGCCTGGTGGGTTGTCAAACATCACGATGCTGCCCACATCGCAGTGCAGCAGCCGGCCCGTCAGCAAGTAACTTATCACCTCCACCCTGTCGCTCATCTGCAGCAGGTTAACAGGTATGCAGTGGTGGCTCTCATGCAGTGCAAGCCACTTCTCTTGCGCAGTGCGCAGTGTCATTCGAGAGGCCCGTGCCCAGTGGCGCAAGATCGTGACCACCTCCTCCGGCCGGCCTGCCTCCTCTCCCAGTCGCCCTACTGTCTCCCGAAACAAGGCCAGCGTCTTCTCTGACCAGCTAGAGCTGAACCAAACCTGCACGATTGTCACTTTGTCACCTTCCCTTTTGTTCCCTTTGGGCTTGCTGTCGCACACAGTTCGAACGGGCGGAGGGCAAAGCAACAAGCCAACAAAAAACCTGAGGCAACACTCTTTGGAGGCATGTGCGCCTGTCTTCACGTGCAATGAGCTTGCACGATGCTCCGCCCCGCAGAGTCAGTTGCAGTCAATCGAATCACGCATATACACGCAAGGTGAAGCATTCGATTTGCCAGGCACTGTGAGGTCCTCACAGCCCACCAGCACAACTGATGCTCTCACATGCTGCCAACAATGCACATGCGCCTCTACCCATGCTCGCGCCATGACCAGTGCGCCGTTTCTCGCGTGCTATAACGGACACATCCATCCAGACCCAGTGCGCAAGCTCACACCTGCAAGATGCTGTCCACCACCACGCCCCGGAAGAGCATATCCGCGATGACCTCCGTCTTGGCGGTGCAGTACGCCGACGACTCGTACCCCACGAACCTGGTCGGCCCGTCCTCGTCCGGGTCGCCGTGCATCTCCGCCGTGAGCAGCAGGCCGAGGTCAACGTAGCCCACGGCCACGTGGGTGCCGCCGAAGTGCAGGTGCACGGACCTGGGCAGCACCGTGCTGAAGCTGTGCAGGACGTCGCTGGCGTAGGTCGGCCGTGGGCGCATGCGCCACACGTCGCCCGCGGGGGACCCCACCCACCAATTGAGCGCGTCGCCCTCGTGGGTGCCCAGCCGCTTCATGAAGTGCACCTGCTCCAAGGGCACCTTTTTGGGGTTGCGCTTCACGGCCTGCTCCTGGATCCGCAGGTACGAGCCGATCGTGCGCGACTCCTCGAACACCGTCAGCAGCCACTCCTGGCATTTCTCCACGTTCACCTGCGGCGGCACCCACCCTGAATGCAAGCTTTCCTGCCTTTGTGTTGCTCGAGCTGCGTGCTCATCAATTCGAACCAAAGACTGCACAACATCTTTTCACAGCATGGGAAAGAATCTCCCACACACCCGCTTAGCGGGGTTGCCCTTTGCGTGCCCGTTTCCCTTGGTAACGAATCCTACCTGGGGTGGGAAGTGCCCCCCGCTGGCGTACTCCGTGTGCACCGCCGGCACTCGGTCGTCGAACAGCACCTCCCGCATGTCCTCCGACAGCGTCTTGTCCATCATCCCATTGAATTTCAGCAGCTGTCGCCCACTCATCGCGCCCTTGTTCATCAACGCCTCGACCCTGTCTTCGGTCGTCTTCCGCCCCTTGGCCCGCCGCTGCTTGATGTGCGCGCCCTCCTGCCTGTTCAGCCGCTCCACCTCCACCCTGAGCGCCCGCACCTGCGCCAGCAGGCCCTCCTCCTCCTCCTCCGCCTCCCGCCTCCGCAGGGCGTGCTCCACAGTGTGCAGCGACGCCCCGAAGGCCTGCATCTCCCGCAGGCCGCTGGCGCGCCTGTACAGGGCCTTAAGGGAGTCCCCGCCGTCCAACACCAGCGCGCACGTGGCGTCCACCACCGCCTTCTCGTGCTGGTTCAGGTGCAGGCCGCAGGCCGACCGGTTGGACAACAGCTTCACAACGGGCTCCTGGGCGAGCCGGGCGGCGGCCATGTACCTGCCCAGCGCCTGCCGGTACTTCCTCTCCCGGAAGTACTCGTTGCCCTGATCCTTCAGCGCGTCCCAGGTGGATTCCCCCGGGCTGTCCCCATCCGGGATCCCCATCACCAGGTCGGTGATCTGGGCCTGGCACAGGGTTTGGAAGGGCGAGGCGTAGGACTCCCGGTAGGACACCGTGAGGTCCACCGTCTCCCTGAGCACCGCCTTGGCCGCCTCCGGCGCCAGGCGGTAGGCCGCCCGCGCCTCCACGCGCTTGCCCATCTTGTGCAGCGCCATCGCCGCCCGGAACCACGCCTTGGGGTAGGACGGCTCCACTGTCAGGGAGGCCATCGCGAACCCCAGCGCCTTGGGGTGCTCCCGCAGCTCCAGGCAGCAGGCGGCAGCGTTGCCCAGCACCACTGCCACCTCGCCGTGGGCCTTCAGCCCCTGCGTGTACTGCTCGAACGCGCCCAGGTAGTCCTGGCTGCGGAACAGCCTGTTGCCCAGCTCCTTGGGCTCCTCCCCGGGGCCGTCCAACCTCTCAAACAGCAGCTCCGCCGGCTTGTCCACCCGGATGCCCAGCCTGCCCGCATCCACGTCGATCACGGCATAAAACGGCTCGCAGATGTCCACCCTAGTGCCGATCGCGAACATCTTGTCGATGGCCTCGTGTGTCTCGGCGTCGGCGAGGTTGTGCACGCAGACCTGCACCAGCTCTCCCGCCACGTCCTCGACAATGACGTCCGTGACGCCGTCCGCGAAGGCCGGCAGGGCCACCACGCGGCCGCGCAGCACGCGCCCGCAGTGCGTGGTGCCCAGGGCGAGGTCACGCACGGCCATGGGCAGCAGCTTGGCGACGTCGGGCAGACGCTTGTTAGGCTTCGTGGTGCATGCCTTCCCAGTGGATGGCTTGTCGCCGTCCTTGTCCGCGCCTTCCCCCGATTTCTGCGCCCCGCCGGCGCCCGAGGCCACCCGCTTGAGCCCCCTCTCCCGGTTGAGCCTGTGCGTCTCCAGGAGCACGTCGCGCGGCACGGCCTTGCCGAAGAATGCAAATTCCAGCTTGGTGGTGGTCTCCGCCACGGCCGCCACTCTGGCGGCTCGCGCGGAGGCGGCCTGCTCCGGGGGCTGGCCGCCGCCGCTGGCCAGCCCGGCGATCTGCTTGCAGTCGAAGTCCATCGCGGGGCGGGGGCGAGCGGGCTTCACGGAAAGGCCCCGGCGCCCTGCAATCAAGTCGGCTGCTGCGGCAAGCACCGAGACATGCGATATGCATGCAAGGCCAGGCCTGCCCCCAGGGTGTGAGGTGGGCAGATGGGATTGGACCAACCGGCGTCTGGATTGCATTCCTTTGCTTAGAGCATCTTTATCGGTCGGCGCTATTGTTCCGGCGGAGCTATTCGGCTATCCGAATAGCTCCGCACGTCAAAAAACCATCATTAACGGTTGGGGAGCAATAACTCCCCAATAGCTCCCCCGGAGCTATTCGGCGCCCAGCGCAGCTATTCGGGGCCAGAATAGCTCCGCTCGATACCGAATAGCTCCCCAGAATAGCACCGGTGCTATTCGCGCAGAACATTGTAGTGCTGCAGTGATGCTATTCGGCGTAGTCATAGCACCCACCATTGCCGATGCGTGCAGGGGAGCAATAGCACCGGTGCTATTCGGCAAATGCCGCCTTAGTAAGGTGGCACGGCAGCCAATGAAAACCGTTCCTGTATAACTCCGCCGGTGCAATAGCACCGACCGATAAAGATGCTCTTATAGATGCAAAGGGTTGGCCATTTGCCACAGAAACGAAGCCGCCGCCAGAACCCCCATCTCCACACTGTGGGAAAATCTCCCTCCTTTTGATGCATTTTTTGTTTATTTCCTTGTTATCGTTTGGCTTTTTTGATGGCTGATGACACCTCGGTTGCTATTTTCACCTGTTTTTGTGAGATAGTGGCAGTATGTGACAAACAAGCTTTGTGGTCCAGCGCTGGCAATCCTGACAGTGGTCCTCTCACCCTGGTCGCAAAATCTAGGACGAAACAAATTGTCCCTGAATCCCACATCGTGGTGAAAACTGGAAGATCATCAACCCGTAAGTCCCTACAAGTCATTCGCCACCCGCAGGGGGCCATAGCAGCACAGCCACCCACCCCGTTTCCAGCCACACACCCACGGCCCGGATCGGACCCAACTGCTGCCCCCCTGAGATCTGAGGAACTCACAAATCAGGGTGGGAGAAAATGCCCTTAGCACTAGATACGGTGGGGAACCGTTTAATGCATTGTACAATACTGCTTACCGCCCAATTACCAAGCAACCGAGGGATCAGTAGTGGGAAGGGGTAATGGTCAGGGAAGGGGTATTCCCTTGGTCGCCAGGCCGGAGTAGGTTTGGTTGGATAGGACGCAAAGAAGAGTATTGTGTCAAACTACGGTGTGCTGTGAGGGCCGGCTGTGAGGGGGTTGCGTGGGCCGCCCTGTCGCACAGATTGTGAGAATTTCGTTTTGTATGCTTCCTGCTCGCCCGATCCGTTGGACTTGATGGCACAGCCAGCCTGGCCGGTTGAAGCTATCAGTATGTTTGGAATGCCATTTAGCAGCCCTTGAGAGGGTGGAACGCGGCTAGGCCGTCTGTGCAATATGTCGACCTCCCACCCTGCTGTTCCTTCGGTTTCGACAATTTTGCCTCCACAGCACAATCGCGTCGCAGACAGGTATCACTGACGAGTACGGACCGCGGGTCAAATTCTTGGCCGCCCCACGGACGGAACGACCTGAAACCGAGACCAGTGGGCAGGGACTGTGGTGCATTGGAGACTCAAAAATGCGAGCCTACAGATGAACTGGTAGAATTCCAGGGAAGCCCGCGGTCTGTCACATAGATGCAACAGACTGGGTGCTGGACTCGCACGGAATGCCTGGTGCACGACAAATGACTGGCACCCAATATCGAGAGGCTCCTCCACAGCGCTGGCTTGCGTACATCACAGCAAATGCAAGATGACGTACGCTTTGTCAAGTTTGGACCTTGGTGATATGGCTTTGGCGAAGCCACTAAAAACTCGAATGCGCCGGGAGGTTTTTTGTTCAGCTGCGGATGACGCTTCTGTGAATCTCTGTTGTCGATCAAGCAAGTAGCAATTAGTTAAACCGCTTTTGATTCTTATCTCCTTTGGCGCTTCGTTGGCAGGCAACGACACGTATTCCCACCACTACGGCTGCGTCCGTGCATACTGAATGTTCTGAGCGGATTGATCTGCAAGAGGGCGCGGGACGGCGGCGAAGAAGTGAAGGCATTGCGGTGCAGGCGTGTGGAGGTAGACTAGATCTCGGGGCGTTCGCAGCTTGCATTGTAGCGTCAACTGACCCGATGCACCAGTCCACTGGCGACGGAGAGCGAGTCACGCGCTATGGCCCCACGATGCTTGTCTTTTGGAGATGCCTGTACAAGGACGCCCATCTCCTGGCCTGAAAACATAATACAGTGATCCAGTCGACAACCGCTGCGTCGACGCGTTCCTTGTTCCTCAGCAGCGCGGAGTCTGCCGGTCATCACACCGGCAGAACCAGTTTGTTGACCAAACAGAGCTGTTCTTCTAAAGCCGTTGACCATCCGAAGCAAGTCATGAAGCAGCTTGTCTCTCCTCTCACGCACGTCCAAGGCGGACGCAGTCGGACACACTTTCAGGTAGAGATGTTGGTCCGGGCCATTGGTTGGTCTTTGCTGGTCGCGGGCACACAACCATTGACTTGCACCTACATGCAACGAAAATGAGGAATATCTTTACTTGTACGAGCACTGAATGCCGAGGACACTCTGTTCGTAGTCGCACGGACACGGTGTGCGACTAATTGCCTGCGGCGACCCAAGGGTCCCAGGCGTCCAAGGGATATGTCCCCCAATATTGTCTTCTGACGTTTGTACCCATGGTGGTATCACGGAAGTCTCTTTGGTTGACGCATAGAACATGACACTTTGCTTTCTGAACTCGACGCCATCAGCATCACGTGAAGACCCTCTGTTTTTACCCCTGCCTCCGGGAAAGGCTCTGGTTTGACCAAACATTGCTGTGCGCCCCAACCACTGCTGCTGTACCTGCGCATGCTTCCAAGCAGTTGTGAGAGCAGGTGCCGATGTTGCAAGGCCTGCCGATTTCCCTGCTGTCTTCATCCAGTGCCCACCCACACGTGTTTACAAGGACGCCAAAAGCTTAGAAATTGTGCAATATCGCCCTGCGTGGCACGGATGACACCTGAATACAAGTCCTCGACCTTTCGCATACGAACTTTGTCCCTCACAAAGGACCCGCATACTCCCAGCGCTTGCAGTAACGTCATAGCGTCGTCTCAAGTAGCTGGCTCGTGGTGAAGACTAAAGGGGGCGCGCAGCGAATTCCGCCTCTGTGAGCTAAACTGCGCCTTTGGAACGGCGAGGCATGCAGGCGGCACACTCCTCTGTCCGAAGGTTTGGTCACTGCAGTGACATGTGTCTCAAATCGTCCACCAGCACAGCGGAAACCGTTGCGCCGGAAGGCACCTCGCCGGTACCCTGAGAAACAAACCATCGTTAACTTTAATGTCAAATGTAAGTCCCCAATCCGGCAGCCGGTCATGGTCCATTGTGTACGTTTATGCGCCACTGTCTGCAACACCGACCAGCCGGTGGCCGGCAACTGCCAGAAGGATGAATCACGACAGCATCTGCATCTCAAAATGTTTGCGATCATTGCAAAGGCAGTGTCAGTCGCAGAATGCAAGTGCGATGCGGAAACGAGATCTTGTAGAGTCCTGACGATCCGGTGCGGCGGAAAAAGGTCTCGCCTGCAGGGAGTGGGTGATGGGGAATTCCCAAGGAAAGGCACTTGCAGCACGATAATAGGCGCTGAATTTGTGCGGTGGGAGGACTCCGGGCAGTCTATCATCGTTGACAGATAATGGCATTATGCAATCGGTTTCGTGCACTGTACGAAGCTGATTTGGGCACACAACCACGAGGCGTAACTTGGAACATGGCTCGACGCCCGTCAAGCAACCACCGCCACAGCTGCAGCAAATGATCCAATGGAGGTGCGTGTTTGGAGCTTTGGAAATGTTGGATAGTCTACTTCGGGGGGCTGACAGTAGTGCACAAGCAGGGCAACCCAGTGCCCTACGATGTTGTATATTGCACAGTACTGAGCTATATGGGGCACAGCATCATTTATGATGTTCCGTGCAGCGCTATAGAGTGTCAGTTCAAATCAGCACTGTGGAGATGCGCCTGGCTGAGGAACATGTACTTTTTCAGTCATCACTGTAGGTGGCAAATGCTGTATTGCATCACAATGCACCCATACCTGCGGAATTTCAAGCAGGGCATTTGCAGACAATGCGCTAAGCAGCCGGCTGCTCAATTGGGACCCAGTCCCCTTGGCAACAAATTGCCCCGCGCCCTCGCCGTCGCTAAGCAACACAGCAGCAGTTAAGACTAAGACATCATCAGCGGGGGCTATTAACAGCAACCACATGTCCTAATCAGCATTATGCCAGAAACGAACATGGAACAAGGAAGTCAAACACCACACAGAAGCAGCGAATACTCAACAGCAGTGCACAAAAGTGCAGAGCGTCAGTGGTGCACTGATGCAATTTGTGCCATGATCCTGGACCAAGCAGAACAAGCCGCTTTGATGCTGCTAAATAGGGGCCATTGCGCACCTTTCCCAATGAATGCGTGCCCTTTGAAATTCGGGCCTGCCACTGTCCATTTTGGCCGCACTCGACAACCGGACGTGCACACGCCTCAGTGAGGGTTCCCGCCAACCTTGACACTTGCGAAGAGCAGATGCAACCACCAGATGGAAGCAAGCATAGCTGCTCACAGGATTTCCTGACGCCACACACACAAACGTTGCCAACACATGAAATGGGTGATCTGAGTTTTGGTGCCGCTGCAGGTGCTCTCAGGACACAAGTATGCCAGTTAATTTAGCATTCAGCCATATCAACAGCCGCTTGCCGAAATGAGCGCGGCATTGTAAGGACAGAAAACGTTGAAACAATGGTGCTGCCCTAGGAGACATCTGCACGCAGAAGGCCCACCAAAAAGCCTCAGCTGCATATGTGCTGGCTGTGCAACAAGGAACCCATGATAGAATGTGGGCTATTCCAATCCATGAATTGTTGCACCTTTACTATGTCCAGGCGTGCACTGAGGCTATGTGAGACGGAGCACACTTTCCCTTCTTGTGGGTTGCAACCATGGAAAATGTCCTAACTTGTGATGGCCACAACTATGGTCACCATAGTCGCCCCAGAGTGCAAAAATACTTCTGCATCCAACGAGTTCAGCCTACTCACCTGGGAGTGCAAACACAAGGATAGTTCTGCCACTGCCACTGTCCTCAATGGTTGCAAATGTGAGAGGTTTCCCTGGCTTCATGCAAACTTTTCCAAAGTATATTGTTCCCTTCTTTTCAAGAAGGGGTTTGATCAAGTCCCGAGCACCCATTGAAACTCCTCCTGCACAATGAGAGCGAATTCAAGTCACTGCGCTTGAGCAGCAGGCTGTGAAGCACAAAATGTCACACCTAATAGATCCGTTTGATCACAAATACTTCAGCATGACAAAGCGCTGCCCTTGGGCCTGCAAGAAGATGACAGGCACAGCTCAGTATGACATGCGTGTCTGATAATGTTTTGATAACGTTCCCTTGGAATGCAAATCCAGACATGCTCAGAGAGGAACAGTGAACAGCTGCCACCTTGGCAAAAATCGGCAAGGCCACCATGAAGATGGTTTGCACACAAGACAGGTCTGGTCAGGTCAACCAAGTCAAAGCACGAGGCAAATGTGATTTTGGGAAAACATATACTAAACAGCAGTCTCCAAGGGAGGGTGCTGCTTCTTCGATTGCCAGTAGCAAACAGAGGGATACAGAAATGTTGTCTCTTCAAAACTGCCCGACATCTTTGTACTGCTACCCTTTGAGGTAATCACAACAGCAGCACAAACAAAAGCGCATCTACGACAGATTCGCTGCTGGAAAGCACTGCTGTTCATGCTCCACCTGATGTTATGATGACATCAGCTCCATCCTGAATGGCCTTCTCAAAAGTCTCCTCCAGGGAGCCCTGCTTGTCCCCAACGATTCCCATGTCTGTCACCAGTGCGCCCGTCTCACGGGCGGCTGCCAACAGCATGGGGCGATTGGAGTCCCTGATCTGGCCAGGTCCTAGGCTGGCTGTGTCTGAACTGACAATCTCGTCGCCATTGGACAGGACAGCCACACAGGGACGGCGGTAGGCAGAGACTGCAGCAGCGCCCACACTCCCTGCCAGGCCGACTTCTGCAATGCCGATTCGATCGCCTGGGTGCAAAATTACTGTGCCACATCTGCACACAGCCTGGCTCAGTATATATCTTCAATCATTGCAGCGGTCATCAGAGGACACATGTCTGTATACGACAGTTGGAAGATGTCAAGAAGTTGTCTCAGTGTCATTGCCTTCCTGCAAAGATGAATCAGGCAACAGAACCCGTTTGCCAGATCCAGATGGTCCCTTGCAAAGTATTCATGACATGCAATACCTGCACCTACACAAGGGGACACACTACCTGGTGAGGATGAGCATTCCAAACCCAATGACAGGACTGTAATCTCGGCTTAATCCTTTGTAGACAGTGCCACTTCTGACACACACCAACATACGCATATCCACACATGCACTGGGTGATGAGCAGCATAGCCCCATAATAACATCAACAAGTGCAGGGGCAATCAATTCAATTTTGTCATGAGCACATCGGTCTGCTACATGGTTCAGAATCACTGCAACTCGATGCCAGTAGTGCAGCTCTGGCCAGCACAACTGTCTGACACCTCACCATCGCATCTGGCCTGACATGCATTTCCCACTGGCAACGGTGCAGTTAAGGAATCGACTCACCCAATATCCACGCCCACAGGCCTCACATCAGCCCCTGCTACCACCCCCTTGTTGACCTTCACACGCTTCCTGCCATCATCACCCGGAGCCAGTGCCTCAGTTTGCTCAATCATAACGACAGCATCAGCTCCTGGAGGGAGTGGAGCACCTGTCCACCAACACACAACACGACTGTTTGTTGCGAAGTTCTAATGTGAGATTTCAAACATGACCAAATAGTAAGTTGCTCCAAGTGAAATGCATGTGGGCGATGGAACCCCTGGTGTGGCTTCAAGAATGCCATGAGAACCAACAATACAAATGTGCTGGCTAATCCACATCCAAGAAAAGTGGTCGAAGACTGAGCAGGTTTGTATTTTGCAACATTAGCACCCTTGCCTTGTGGGAATCACCCTGCAATGAATGTCCCTTGCATTGCAATGCAAACAAATGAACACCAATAAGATATACATTGTACCCAACATCATTCAAGCATTAATGAGGGGCAAAACAGGCATGCTCTTGGGGTACGAGGCAGATTTCCACTGCAACTGTGCTTCCTGTGCATTGGATGCCCAACACAAAAGACATGCAACAGGATGTGTGAAGTGTGTTGGCAGGTTCATCAGGTGCTGGAGAAAGTACATCATTAACTGAAGAAAAATATACTGGGGTAGTCTACTGTAAGATCAAAAGGAAAAAGCTTAGCCATTAGCCTGCCTTACATGGTCTCCATTCATGCTCAGTCTCCATTCAATTGATCATGAGCTGTTATCTCCAAACTGATCATCCACCGCAGGACCTACAAGCTGAAGCATAATCTGGATTGTGCCACACCTGTTGTTATATATGCCACAGTACCAGGCTCCACCTTCAGAGAGCCTGACGTTCCAGCAAGTGCCTCCCCAACCAATGGATACTCCCCTGGCCCGTCCGATGCTACAACTGCATAGCCATCCTGCTCCATTCCAGTGCGTGTACGTCAGCAAGAAGGCGGACCGTGGCGTATCAATAGTGGGAGTTTCCATGCACAAGGAAGGAGAGCATGTGACCCAGGTGTTCAGCTCGGAAACCAGCACTGCAATGTTGCACAATGCACTGCCAACTCGTTCTTGCTAACGGAGTTTCCAGGCGAGATCCATTGTTCTACCCGCAAAGCAACTTATATGGCGCAGTAGCGCATGTTGGTCAGCAATCGATCAAGGGTCAGATTGACATATTTTCGTGATTGGCGTCAAAGTTCAATCACTGATATGCATTGAACCCTCACGGGATCTGCATCTGCACCAGGCTGGCGACTCTTGAACTCCCGCTACTCGCATTGGCGTCGGAAGCGTGATCATGGTCTTCCGCAGAACGGACAAGATAGCCACAACAATTCCAGCACGTGGAGGGGTGCCAATTGCACATTTGCACATTGGCACGCACCATTCTCCGCCAACAGCCCTACACTTCGGCGTCATGAGAGAGGCAGTCCCACCTTGATGGACGCCGGGAACGGCGGCAAGGGGTCTTTTGCCACGACGGCCTCCGCGCACACCATCCCGACCGCCTCGTGGGTCGGCACTCTCTCCACAGGAAGCACGCGGCAGTGCTCCAGCACGATGGCCTGGGCCTCCGAGATGCTGATCATCCCGTAGGCGGCGGACGGCGTTAGGGGCCCCTGGGCAGCCATGGTGGCGCTGGCCGTCGCGGGCAAAGCCGTGGGCAGGGCGCCGCAGTCTGCTGTCGCCTGCTCGTGGTAGGGTCAGATTGGGAGTTGGAAGGGCAGAGTCGCCAGCGAAGAGGCGGGTGCCCCCTGACTCGGATGGCGCAGCAGCTTGGAAGCTGACGTCTGGCGGAGGCTGGCTTTGGTGAGGATCCCTTCTTCTTCCGCTGGCAAGGGCCAACGTGGGTCAGTGGGTCAGTGGGTCAGTGGGTTAGGGTTTAGGGTGTCAAAACAAGCAGGAATCTTCACGAAAAGACAGAGCGGCTACTTTCATGCCTGCTTCGCTCCCGAGGAGGGAGGCATTTGTTGGGGAGTACTGGTACTCCTGAAAGTACTGTCGGCTGGTTGGTTACATTGCGTGGGTCGAAGGGGGGTTCGCTGAAGAGCAGGAGTCGGGTGCAAGCGAATTTTCTCGCGCCACTGGTGCCATGCTGTGGTGCGACGGGCGCTTGCATGCCCGCCTTGTGTTCCCTCGTTGGCGACTTCACGCATTGATACTGTCAGTCCCCTGGCCGAAAGCGCAAGCTCCTTGGGAGTTTAGCGTTGGGGCTCCGGGCGCCCTCCATGTGCATTGGCCTGCGACTTTCGGCAAAAAGGACTGCGACTCGGCCAAGGTAACAGAGGAACGGCACTGACGTCAGTGCTGTTCCAATATGTTGGATGCCGTCATCATGGAAAGCTGAGGACTAAAGCAGACAACCAAGCAAGGGGAGTTGCAGGTTCTGAAGGGTTTTTTCTTTGTCGTGCATCTTCAGCAAGATTTGATGGGCATTAATCGGACATTACCGGCGACAACAGCACTTAACAAAAACAAAGCAAGCAGCAGCCTTCACAGGCCGGCGCCGCTCCGGCAGCTGTTCGTCTCATGGATTTCAGGGTGCGCCATCATCATATTGTGAGGCCTCTCTCCTAGCAGAGTCATCGCCACGCACGCACAACAGATTCTCTCTGGGTGTACCAACAGACACAAACGCTGTTCCGGTGCACATGAGATTTGTTGTTTTTTGCACCACACAACTAGCGCTGCGACCTTTGTGATGTTGACAAGCTCAAGAGCTGGCATCTAAGGACCTAAGGAACTTGGTATACAGCAAACTGCACTTACTTTGTGCACCATCTTCGCTGCAAATCGTCCGATACATCGGATGGTGCCAACCCTGTATTTCGCATATCGCAGAGATTACTAACACTGTTGCAGTTGCCCAAGTCGCCATCTTCGCAGGCTGCACGAAAGGAGCAGCCAAATTGACCCCGTAATGCGAAGTCAGCAAACAAAGCCAAAGGCAACATGCCAATCACCATTCACTTGCCTTTTATTCAGCATCCGACAATTTTCAGTTCATAGGAGCAGAAACGATTCGGTCCATTGCATGCCTTGGTGGTTGTGGAAACCAACCTAGGACTCTGCACTCCCTGAGCTACCCTCCACTCGTGGTACAAGTGGCACATGTGGCACACGTGGTACATGTGACGCATGTGGTACAAGTGGCACATGTGGTCGCCTACAAAGACAGTAGTATTGTGCAATTGTTTCGTGTCCACCGAAATCGCTTAGTAAGTGCCAGGGCAGTGATTTGTCACCTGTCATCGCTAACAATCAACGCAGATGCCCTCCGTTCACGCCCACAGAAACAGCAGCCAGCCTTGGAAGTTGGTCATGCTTCGCAAAAGAATAGACTACAGGTTCACAGACAGGAAAAGGAATGCCAACCGTTTGCAACAAAACCTTTCCCATCTCCATCCCAGTTCTGAAATCAAGAAAAGCTGGCAACCATTAGCCTGCATCAGATATGGCCACCACAGGCAATTAACATTGTCTGTTTGCATGTTTACAGGGGAATCAGAAGCCAGTATGCAAAATGCACAACAGTTCAGCAGGCTGCATTGCAGCCATCCTGCCAGTGGTACCCTGGCCAACTGCCACAGTGTCCATCCACCATCCCTGGCCCAAAGAACGCAGCATGTAGTCACACCCCACAGGTCAATCCTCTCTGGTAACTGTGGACTCAGACGTCTGCGATCGTCACCTCCACTTCAACACCAGGCTCAATCCTGCGCCATATACACAAACATCAACTTTGGCGTCCCAAGTGTTTGATGTCGTTACTGGAAATCCAACGTTGCTGCTGTCGGTATGCAAAATGAAACATGTGACTTGTTGAATACTGAGTTGTGTTTGTCCTTTGATGTTGAGGCGTGACCATCACCCCTTCGATTGCAATTGAACAGGTGCACTGCCACTTCAAATGCCACTCACCCTATCGAAGTGATCTGCTTCACCACGTCCACTGGTGAATGCAAATCAATCAACCGCTTGTGGATCCTGTCAGGGTGCAAAAAGACACAGATGTGCTCAATTCAAATACGCCCTGACGGGCCACCTCCCCTGGGAAGCCATCGCCACTTTACTTTGCTCACAACAAACAATTCACAGCGCATATGGACTCGCCAAGATCTGTCCACATTTGGCATTCCAATTGATTGCCCATGGTTCCATCCTTTCCTCATTTTCTTTAGGTTGCATGCAAGTGACACATCTAATGTTTCCTTTCCTGGACATTGGCAGGTCAATGAAGCCTCAACTGGGAACGTGGAACAATTCCATTCGCAAATTATCTGTTGCTGCGGACAACGCCCACCATCGCCTGATTGGTGCAAGAGCAGTGCCTTGTTACGTCACTTGACAAAAGCAACAACCACCATTGGCCAACATTCCCATTTGGCAAACATTGCAGATCCGCTGACTGTAAACAAGAATTACTCCGTCCTAAGCTGCCAAATGCGAATCTTGTCGGTCAATGAATTCTGACCTCATCTCGAATCTATCCCAGGTGTTGGTTCCCTCTCCGCATGGCGACTTCCTGGTCGTGATTCTCAAGGTCTTTGTGGGCATCCTGACGGGGCCCTTCACCTTCAGGTCCTTCTCCTTGGCGTTTTTGATCAGATCGGCGCAAACTGCACCACAGACCAAGGGTTCAGTAGCGGTCTCCCATTCCACGTCATACTTCCTTTGCATCGACAAAAACAGTTGTCCCAACACACACGGCCACCAATCCAGCCATGCGGCGCAGCCAGGGGATCAGCGCCCAAGGGGGAACGAAAACGAAAGAAAAATAGCAGGCAGCACAGGGTGGGGAGAATTGTAACCAACTGCCTTCTCAGGCTCGGTCGGGCCTGCCCCTTCGATCGTTCGTCGGCCAGCGCGGCCCATGCGAAATCCGTTCGAAAAGCCGGCCCCCCTGGCGTTTGCCAGCTCTCTCGCTCCTCACCCTTCTCAAGGCTCTTAACGTTCCTCGACGTCAGCGTGATCCGAATCCTGTGGGCCTGAAGGGCGTCCTCATAGCCCTCCTTTCCATACGCAGGCTTAGCCATCTGCGCATTTGAGCACCACCAGATTATTGTCGAATCGTTGACGGCGCCGCCAGCACACACGGAGCTGGAGACTCGATGGCCCACAGGCGAGACGCCCGCGCACCTTGTGCCCCGCGAGCCGCTTGTCTGGCCGCTGCGCTGCTCGCCGGACTCTTGCTGCCCCTGCAAGCGGCGCCGCCGTCGCAACAAGGCCATTCGCGCTGGCTACAAATGCGGTCCATTAAGCCTAATTGGCCGTTACTTACCACGTCTATACTGGCTAACTTCCTCCTGCGGCAGTGAAACTGTTTATTTGGCTGCCTACTCGCCGTGACACGTAAAATTCCATGGCGTAAGTAACGAAACTGTTCTTTTTGTGGGCAATGTGGCAAAGTGGGTTCCCACACAGGTAGCTTTGGGCACAGCACAGCAATCGCACCCAGGGGCACAGCTGTGCGCAAGCCTGCAAGTTGCCTATCCATCACAACGCAGATCGGGCAACCTTGCATGCACAGGCAGGCTGGCGGTGCAATGCTGCGTTGCAGTGCTTCAGTGGACACTTTGTGCGGCGAACAAACACGGTGCCATTCAAGGTAGATTCTGTGCAAGCACGTTTTCATTTATTGTGGGCAAACATCGGATTCGCGTAGTGGATGTGGAATGATGTTCACCAACGCAGCGGATGCGTCGACGCTGATGGCCCACCTGGGAGCTTCGGAGCCGCAGTGCTGTCTCGTACTTTGGGCAAGACAGCAATCCTGGCCAGAGAAAGATACCAGGTTTCAAATATGCCCCAGGAGTTCCAATGTTTTGTGGCACTGCAGGTTGGGCACCTTCCCACACATGTACACATCCCCACATAGCCGACATATATATGCGGTCCACATAGGGTCCACTCGAATCAAAGAATGTAGTGTTACAATCAATCAACAGATATGTTTGACCACGTTTGTACACGAGGGTCACAAGTCACCAGGGCAACATGCCAAACTTGGCCGCCGCCCTGCCGGCAAGCCTTGCCTATGGCTGCACACAAGCCCACTGGCAATTTCCAACGTAGGCTGCAGCAGCCTGCAAAAAGGGCTTGAGGCCAATTCCATCCACCACAGCTAATGCCGTCCCGCACCCCGCAGTGCCACTTGTTGGGGTCGCTGAACGAACGGCACTCGGCCTGCCGAGACGCCCAGTGCATCGCCAGGTAGAGCATCGGGCCCTGCTCCGAAGGGCCAGACATGTTTGAATCATAATATCCCATGGCTCGCCCCATCCTCCCCACTCCTACATACCCCACCCCTCGCCTACGTGTACCGGATCGGCCCGTCCAAACTCCCCGTGGCGAACTGCCTCACTATGTCGTCCTCGGAGTTGTTGAACTCCTTCACAGTCCCCTGCCATGCGACCCGGCCCTTGTGCAGGAAAATGATGCGGTCCACAGCGCGCTGTATGGTGGAGTACTGGTGCGTCACCACGATGTAGCTGGAGATGCCCGTGCCAGGTTTGGTGGCGCCGTTCTGACTGCTCGGCGTGTGCAAGTCCCTTATGAGGTCCTCCACGACGGTGGACGCAACAGGATCCAGACCAGCTGTGGGTTCATCATACATGATGACCTACACCACAAAAAGGCACTGTGCTCAGGTTTAAAGTGTTCCATTCTTCACGCATGCACTTCTTTAGGGCAGTCAGCGCCCTTGCAGGAAATTTTGCCATTTGGCCAGCCTATTCTTGATATTATTACCGAGTGGCAAATATGATTCAAAATGTCCAGCGCAAATTTCAGGCTTGGCGACGGAAAACGACGATAGCCTTCAGGATATCCTGCCGATGTGGTAACAACAGCGATTCATACGGCTTGAATGATGAAGCCCGATGCTGTGCAATATGGACAAATGGGACCAAAAACGAAGTCCAAGCCAATTTCCATCAAGTTATGCAAGGATTTTCCATCCCGTCAAGTGGGAGATGTACACAAGAACGATATACAGAGCAATGCCCTTCATAGCACAACGCTGAAATGATCGTTTTGAGAGAAATTTGCTCCGGGACAACAGTGCACCTGCTCGACATCTTCCCTCAAGTCACCGACCACAGCCCTTGCAAGAGCCACACGCTTTCTCATTCCACCTGACAGCTGGGCTGGGTACAGATTCAAATCCACACCCTGCGAGTCGCCCACAAAGCACCAGGTACACATGAGTTAGACCTACGAAAGCACAAAATGATCCAGCCAAGGCGACCAACAACCGCAGAGTCAAATCATCTGGTGACACAATCCACGATTTACAGCAACTGGCACAAATCCTGTGCCAGAGAGTTGTGGAGAGTGCGTGGACAAGTGGCATAAGAATTGAGATCTCTGTTTTCATTCTTCCTATTTTCTATTTGCACCCAGAGCAATCTTGGACCTGTTTTATGCATGCGAACAGTGTGTGATGCATGAATTTACTCAGCTACAGCAACATGAAAGAAGAGGCGATGTTGCATAAGGTTGGATAATGCTTCTGTCAAGCATTCTTTTCCTTGATTGATGAGTTCATTCGTTCGATGTCCTCTGGTTCTAGTTTGATACTGTTGATGCCAATTTGGGGACGATATCTATTCCATATTGTGGATATATGCATATACATACCATTACCATGAGATAGACAGTACCAATTTAGCATCAACAACAATGTCAACCGAGTGAAGCCGCCTTCAATAACAAGGATGCCTTAGACACAAGCGCTCCCGGTGCAGCAATGATTCCACGTTAACAAGGACATGAATCATGGATCAGGATTGCCTCCAGCAAATATCTCAACCAAAAACTTAAGGATTGTAACAATACGCGTTGGATAACAGCAGCTGGGACAGGTACAACATGTCACATAATATGCTTATCATTTCCTGCTTTTCAAAGTTCTTGCAGCTTCAAACCATGATGCTGCATGGGGCATTTAACAAGAACTTCCCTCTACCACTTGGCTTCAAAAGGGGACAACAGTCTCAAGCTTGAACTATTGGTCTAGAATCCAATGTCATTCAAAACATCCCACACAGTTTCAGGTTCACGCGAATGGGCAATGTTCTGAATTTTACACAAAAGGTTTGCTGTGGGATCTAAGAACAATCGCACACCACAAGAAGAGAAAAGCAACTGTGCATCTTGCAAAAACCTGTGTACCAGGGAACAGAGGGCAGACTGTGACTGCTCAGAGCAGCAACAGACATATCGACAAGGTTGGGCGCGGTTACCTTGAGGCCAACTTTTGCAAGGCTGGTGGCCACCTGCTCTTCAATCACATGCTCAGGGAGGTGGGAATGCTCATAGAGCAAGAAGCCAACGTTCTCTGCAACCTACACATTGGAGTGCACACCTGAGGAACAGCCGCATCTGCAATCGAACAGGTCTCATTTTCTTTTGTTCCAAATTTTTCTCTGCACGCAGCAATTCCCGTGTCGCCCCACTCCAAATAGAGTAAAAATCAAGACAAGGGGCAAAACAAGCTTTGCAGCCGAACACTTCTTCCAAGCTTTGCCTCAACACAATTTGACTGCAAGTACACTTTCAGCTGCAAATTCTGCCCTGCATTGACCTGCAATCGCCTCTGCTCAGCGTGAACAGGCAATTCTAACCAATTCACGGCAAGCAGAGACATGCTGCAATGCACAGCGCTTCAGAAATGCTTCGCACCAACCTTGTCAAGCACCCTGTACACTTACAGTCAGAGAATCAAAAAGCGCAGATGTCTGGAACACCATGCTTATTCGCAGTGGCTCCTCCTCATGATGCTCATGGTCAGCTGGGAGACCAATCCTGGGAATTCCTCTGACAAGGACTTCTCCCTGGACCCACCACCATGACAATGCCGCACGTCAGACCAGACACAAAGCACCAGATGATTGTACTAGTCATTGGACATCTTTGTTGAAATGCCACATGCCGTTGCTGGTCCACAGGTCAACACGACCACTGGTTGCTGACCACCTCACATCATCGCCTTCCACTTTCGTGCACGCAGGCGAAGCCCCCATCTCTCCAGTTAGGATAGGAGTTCCACGTCGAATCTTTAATATGACACAACATCTTGAAAGAAGAGAAATAACAGAAACCCACGACATCATCTGAAACTCCCGAAGCAGTGCCTTATAGACTGCTCCGCATCCAGAGGACCGTTTCAATGCAGTTATCATTCCATCTCATGCTGCAATGCACAAACTGGCTGGATGATTCCTTGGCTGAGGCTCGCATAATGTGAAAAGAGGTGCTGCACTGCGAATGAAAATGTGGCCATAATAGCCTTGAAGAGGCCTAGGCAATGCTTTAGCACTACTGGATAACTCCAATCCAAGGACTGGCCCTTCCCCCCCAAATGCTGAGTGACAGCTCAAGTGTTCAGCTCTGCCACTCAAAGCAGAAGCAGGCAAGCCCCAACCAAGCCAGTACATTCGCCTGACAGCAGAGACTGCGGCCTGGCTGACAGAGCATTTGCAATGGATATGCTGTGTGCACACAAGAGAGGCTCCAGGCGAACACGGAACTGTAATCACAGCGCGGCAACGACGATCTCAGCCTCACCGAGTCGGGAGCCAGGAGGCCGGCCATTATCCTCAGCGCTGTAGATTTTCCGGTTCCCGATGCCCCAATAATGCCCACGGCCTCGCCCCTGTAAATCTTGAAGCTGACGCCGTCCAGTATGACTTTGCTGCCAAAGGACTTCTCCACGTTTCTGAACTCTATCAGCACGCCGTCGTCCTTGACGGGACGCCGCGCCGCCGGCCTCGTCCCATTGGACTCCACGGGGAGCTGCCAGCAGCACAGGCCTTGTCACAATCGCCCGCAACGAAATCAGCATGCCCATCGCAGCTCTCGCACCCCAGAATGACAGTGGCGTTGTCAAGGAGAATATGGTAAGACCCGGCAAGACACAATGGTGCGCGCCGTCCTCAGGTCTCGGGGAGCCGTTTCGGTAACTCCAAGCGCCAACCACCGCCAGATTCCCCACCGCTCAACCGACCACAGGCAGGCGCATCCCCATCCCTCCCATTCCGCCCGCAAACACCGACTCTGCATCCCCACCACCCTCCATCCCCGCGACAACCCATTACCGGCCCCAGCCCCTCTCCATCCCCCCATGCGCCCACCGTCCCCCTGCGCCCCTGCCGCCACACTCTCAGCACAAATGCACGGTCCCCGCACATCTCTCCGCCCCCCTTCCCCAACAACACCAAAGCACACGCCGCCCGCAGCGCCCTCTGCGCACCTGCTGCCGCTGTTTTCCTCCTCCCGCCCCGGCCCCCGCCTTTGGCCACTGGATGATAGAGCACACCGACCGCCTGAGCCGCCTCCGCCGCGACCAGCCCCCGGGCGCCGTCATCAATCGCCGCCGCCGACCGGCCAGCGCCCGGCCGAGAGCTCCACAGGGTTCCGCCGGGCACCGCGCGGAGGGCCCCGCGGCCGAATCGCGACGGCCTTCCAGGCTCTGTGCGCCCGATCCGGAGGGCCAAAGGCTCGAAGGCATGTGTGTGCGCCCCAAGGGAGAATCCTGCTGCAGGGGTGGGCCCGGAGGGGGGCCCGCCTGTGAGAGGGAGGAATCGCCCGGCGCGGCGCAAGGGGCGGGGGCATATCGGCAGGCGCGACGTGCCTGCCACGTGGACCTCAAGTTCGCCCATTCCTGGCCGCTGCGACGCCCTTATTGGGCGCGTTTGGGCCCCTGATTCGGCGCACAACGCCCCGTGGGATTCCATGCGCCTTGTGTTGAACGGGGTTTCGTGTTAACATGGTGGACCGGCGCCATTGTGCCTTGTACACATGTGTTGTTTGCTTGTTGTTTCCTCACATGGATGCATCGACATGACGCCACGGCGTCGATCATTGTGGGGTACGAATCCTGTGTGCGAGGGGCACGTTCAGGCCAATCCGTGCCACCGAATACGCCTCTAACGGCGGTCACATCTCTGCCCCCCCGCCCAAGAAAAAAAGAAAAAAAAACACTCCACCACCAACGCAGAGAAAGATGTCTGCAAGCCAGAAATTAGAGTGGCAGGCTAGTCCTTGTTCATAGGCTCATTTGCCTCCTTCGTTCAATTCTGCTACCCTTTTAGCGTAGCAAAACTCCCAGCCGACTACACTATTTTTGCATATCAGTTGCTTCCAGCAGTAACCATTTCTGTGCCTTCTGCATAAAGATCAATGGACAATTCGAAGGTTTGGAAGCACCCCTTGCAAGGTCAAGTTGGTGCTGCTTCAGTCACTCTTGCTGATTCAGACTCAGAAACAGAAGTGGTATCAGCCCTGGCTCTGTTGCTTTGTGCTGCCGCCGTTGGGATATGCACATGAAGCAGAAGATGGGGTGTTCCGTTCACAATTTCTTTACTCGGGTGGCACTGGATCTGCTGGCGAATAGGCTTGCTTCACTGCTCTTCCAATGCTCTACAGCAAGACTACAGTCAGCACAATCCGCTGATGTTCTGGTTTACCAAGATGGTGCCCTTGTGAGCCGAAGCATGGGCTGCAGTCCAACGCCAGATTGCCCGTCTGAGCTAGAAGTCATGGTGCTGTTTGCGCTTGACACAACACAGGCATAACAAGGCATTGCGGAGATAAAGCTAAAGCAGTTTGGGAACCATGTGATCTGGTCAAATGAGAAGCACCAATATGGAGGGCTGCTCAGTGAGTTCGACTTTCAAAACGGTCAAGTTCCTACTGCTCTGTCGATTTTGCCTTGAGCATCAGCCACGATTCTGGTCTTAGTTAAGAAATGACACTGTGCTTGGGGACACATTGAACGGGGATATGATGCCACGAGTGTCCAAGTTGCACGTCCCCTTGTTAGCATGACCAATTCACAGAGCAACATATTTTATTCCAAATTACCCTGCTTGACCATTAAGCTGCTGGACATATGGATCGCCTCTCTCCTTTCTCCCACAGCACTGCATTGTTGAAGAAGACGAGGGCATTAGTCCCCCCAACAGCTGCAATGTTATCAGAGGATCACACATTCCTGGTTCAGCACACCACACATTGCAGTCCCAGTTCCTCCTTATCGTTCTCTTTCACACCACTCACAAGGTGGGTATAATACAATTCGTTCAGTCAAGGTGCCTTTCACTACAAGAAACCAGGCCAGACAACTCACCCCACACTCCACCTGTAAACTTGGTGAGCCAGCGCATCGCCATCATCACCACTGCTTTTCCCCTCCCCCGCCTATCCTGCAACCTCACCCTTAGCCCAAGCCCCCACTTTACAAATATGGCTGCCCTCATGGCACACGTCGCAGTCAGTTCCTCACCAGCCCCTGGCCACTGGCACTCCTCGACACTGTCCAACCAGCACCCTCCCTAGCACTCCTCCAGCCCACCATCTTCCCTTCCAAATTCAGCCAGCCAGCCCATTTCCCTCCACCCTTCACTATCTGCCTCCCTGGCAGGACAAACTGTACAAGCTAGCATGGACAGGAGGTCCACCACATCGCTGCTCAGCCCCCATTCATGACATGGACAGCATCCAGAGGCTGCACAGCTCCGTTCGCGACAGCGGCGGGTGCTGACATTTGGAACTGACTTGGCATGCCCACTGTTGAAGAGAGCACGGCAGGCTGAGCTCCTGGGTGCGATTGGAGCATGAGCGCTGAAGGTGGCAGGTTGAGGTGAGAAGAAGGTAGCAGTGGGGCAGCTGATGTCACCGACAAGGGAGCAGTCGATGGCACGAGTGTGTTTGGCTCTGGCACAGAGGGAGGACCATGACCCAGTTGGTCAGGTGGAATGCCCGAGGTGTCATGGGCCACATGGGCAACAGGGCCTGGAACAGGACAAGTTGGTCAGGACTCACTTGGTACAGTGTCCTGTCTGTGGGCCCAACACTGTCAGAGTAGCGTTCAGCACAGAAGCGGATTGAGGGCCAGGATACAGGTCCAGCAACTAATTCCCTCAAATACATTTGCCTGCACAGGGCAAACAGGGCCCTTGCACCTTGCAAGTGCTGAAAGGTGTGACAACATGCAGGAATAGTGCCCTATTTTGTTGGAGAATGTGTGGGAGACATACACTTCGGTGACCAGATATTCAGTGAAGCGGAGAAAGTGACAAGGGGAATTGGCAGGGTCTGATTGATGCGACATTGTGTATACAAGTTTGGGAATCGTTCTGCAATACCACCTTTGGCTGCTTGTTCCCTGCATGTGGGGAGTTTGTTGCATGAACAGACAGATGCACACACAAGCACAATGTCTTGAAGGGCATGAACACATCAAGAACTGTTTTTCCACAGGGCCCCAGCTTGCAAAAAGCCAGGTTGCTAAACAGGCAACAGATGACTTGTGCATGGATGGGCGACGGTCTTCCCGCAACAGTTCATAAATGGAATTCACATTTGCGATCTTCTCTGGTTGTTGATGACGATTGTTGATACTGGTGCTGGAGAACACAGCCAGCACCTGTTGTCAAGGCTGCACATCCCATAGCACCAGAGCATGTGGGTGGCCAAAAGACCCAAAGTACAAAACCACTCAATTTGTTGAAGCGGTGGAAGATAACACATCAAGAATGCAATGGGGATCTTGGGTGTTGCGTACACCAGCCCTGTGCACAAGAGCCTTTCAATTCTATCAAACTGCGATCATCATATTGTCGATTAGCATCAATGCTGCAGTCAACTTCTGAAAATGACAATTGGATCCCCTGCTGAACTCCTCTCGTCAGTGGTCACTGCCAGGAACTCACCACAATTCTCTGAAACACAGATAATTAGTAGACATGTGCCATGACCTGGGTAGCCAGTCTGTCATATTCACATCGCTGCAATGATATATTCCTTCAAGGGCGCAGAGTACTTACCTAGGGCAGCAATCCCTGGAGTGGGCAGAGCCAGGTAGGGACTAAAAAGCAGCGCCCTGTAGGTGAAGCCATTAACCCGGACAGTGGCAAGGTAGCCTGAGTTGAAAGCCCCATCCACATGCCCTTCGACCTGGGCACCTAGAAGGCTGGGATTAGGTGAGTAGATCTGGCACACCTGAGTGGGCTGCTGCAGTGCCTGCACCTGGCTTGGGTCCATCTTCTGTCGCTTGGCAAATGTTGGCTCAAGCCCTGAATGTTCCCTGGTCACAACATTATACAAGCCAAACTATAAACATGCTATGTAATGCTCGGCATATAGTCAACACCACCTGTGCTGGGTTACAAGTCAAGAGTAGATGGAGAAACCATCACAAGGGTGGTGCATGCATGCTACTTGACACTATGTCGGGAATGGCAATTTAGCACACACTACTTAAAAGCCCATGACTAAAAAGCATTTAAAAAAGAATGCACACACTGTCTGGGACAGAACGGAATGCACCTAAACTACAACTCTTGTGTTCATACTTGCTCAGCCAGTGGAGTATCAAAAAACTCTATCATTTTGAGATCTTGCTATTCTGCTAATAGCATTCTCCTCCCCGGCTCATTCCCCAGCACATTATCTTGCACTCCGTACACACACACATGCACATGTTTATGGTGCAAAGCAGGACATCGTCCATTGCATGCTGCTCAGAAGGGGGTGCTCTATCATATTATCTGTTTCTTGGGGTTAAAAATACATCTTTTCACACTTGCACACATGTCTGTAGCCCCAAGCAATGATGCTTCAGCTGCAGGACACTTTCAACACTTGCATGTCTGCAGAATTATCGGCCTCCAGATCTCATTTGCAACTCTGGGCAGTCCCGATTGGAAGAGCTGTAGTAACAATCACCTTGAACTTTCGATTGCTTGTTCGTTGTTCCAAAATCTATTGCCTTTTTAAAGTCGGTTTGGGCACACATGGCAAAACGAATGCATTGAACCAAGATCCAGCTTTGAGCGCCTGATTCGCATTGCCTTGTTACAAAGACCTGGCACTAAAGCAGGGATAGACCTCTGGAAAGCTCTGTATTTGCCGAACAAACACTCTTTGTGGCACTTCCTTGCCTATAAGCTGTCCAAACAGCAGGCCGCCTTGGGCTGCGCACCTCTTTGCTGCTGAGTCGCTGAGGTCCACAGGTGCCCCCCCAACGCCCTGTGAAGCTTTGAAACTCGCCATGTTGGTGGCATAAATTCTGTACGCCTCGTCCTCGTATGGCTTCTTCTCGTCAGCTGACAGCTGACTCCACTTCTGGCCCATCAGACGCTCCACCTCCCTTGCGCTCAAGCCAGGGTTCTCGTCCCGAAGGCCCACCCTGTGGTGGGAACAAAAGAGGTTGTAGGAGGTGACCTTCTTGGGCTGGCCATCGCTGTCACGCCTTGAAGCTTTTGTGGAGCCAGCAGGCTGCGTGACACACATACACACACAATCCGGTGTTGCAGCCCACAGCAGACCAGCCAACATGCAACCAACCAGGATGAAAGTGCCACTGTCAACCGTGAACAGGGCTGGGAAAGGAATTTCGTAGAACTCCAAGCGGCACTCTCTGCAGTTGAGACAAGACTCTTCAACACAGCAGATTGTGAATTGGTGTGTTTTGCTTCAAGCAAGCGACTGAAACACTGTGCAGGACTTCAGTTGGACTGCACAGGCTGGCAGCACCCCAGATGGGAGATCCTGAAATCCCCATAATGTGTCCCAGCACGGACAACATGCAAAGGTTTTTATCGACGTTCTTGGCATTTTGGTTCCTTTGCTTGAGACAGACTGACACCATGCCAGCCTGCACGTAACCAAACGAAAGGACTGTGTCACAGTCAGACTTTTGCCAGCACCCAAGTGGGACAAAGCCACTCTGGCTGAGCGTGGGTCGTTGGCGTGGCCCACCCTCACTCAGCATGTTGCCTGCCCTACCCCGCAGAGTTCAGGCTCCCGCTCGATTCTAGGCATCCTGGATTCCAAAGTTGACACAACTGCTGAATGCTGAACAGCAACAAGAAAGGCTGCAGTCAGCCGCAACAGCAGCACTGCAAGACAGCCTTGGACACGCTGCGGTGCTGCCACACTAATACATACCATCCTGGCAGCTGCTTCTTCAGTGAGGCACAGGACATGGAAGTCGCACATGGGCTGTGCTGTCGCAGTGCAGCCACCAATGACGTATAGGCAGCCGTCTTCAACGTCTGCAGCATGGGCAAAGCGGCCTGCACCAAGATGAAGATGAACAGGATTGCCAAGACCATAGAGGAACAAACAATGGCAGCCTGAAGTGGTCACAGGTAGGTGGCAACTCTCAGCTTTCTTGGACTCCTACAATGGCATTCTGCGCCTATTCCACACAAAGAAACTGGGAATGACATTCCTGTGCAGGGTGGTTGCAGAATCATGACACCTGGACCTTGAACAAACAGTTCTTGAATATTCATATGCTAGTTGTCGACTGCAGGGTGCAACTGCGTTTTTCTCGCGGCCTACTTGGACTGCTGTGACAAGTTGCGAGTTTGATAGTAGCATCGCCAAGCAGCAACAACAATAAATTAATTATGAAACGTGTAAACTCAGAAAACTGCCAGTTGCACAATTTGTTCTAGGTGCTGATTATGTGCTGTACCTGTGCTGAATTCATTTGGGTTCCGTTTGTGTGAACTAAGTAAAAGAGCACACTTCCACACAAAATGCACATCCCCTGATTGACAACTGCACTTGCACTGATGTGAGCAGTGTTGGGACATTCCTGTCGAGCAGGAGCCACAACACAAGCGACAATGATGCCTTTTCAGGGGTGGTGCTGGATTACACCATGCACCAAAAGCCAAGTGCGCCACATTGCAAAAAAACTCACCCTGTGGCAGATGGTTTCCCGTCACTTCCAGAACCTCCCAGCATGCCTGCCCGGCGGCAAGACCATGCGATTCATCCGGCCCAATGTGCAGTATCCAGGAGTCCTGTCCAATACATGGATGGCCATTCACATCAAGCAATCTAACTGCCAACTGTCACAGACACCAATGCGACAAGGTGGAGGGGGGAAGTGTCCAATTTGCGGGTGGGGTTGGGTGGGGGCGACGGGTGTCTGCTTGCGTTTGCACCGAAACACACAGTCAGTGCCCTACTTTGCAGCCAGAGCATGGTATTCTGCAAAAAACGGCCCACGAGGGTTGTGTTACCCAAGAAGGGATGTGACGCAAAAGTGTTCTCTCCCCGATACTCTTTTCCAGCAGCCAAGCTGACAAGGATGCCACTGGTGTGCACAGCAGGAGCTGTGCACGGCCATGGACAGCGCAAGCAGTTGCAATGATGACACAGCGTATTGTGCACCACTGCATGTTTAGGTGCCTGGCTGTGAGATGCCAATGTCAGAAATGCTGCCAAACGAATTGCACTCACATTGTTGTTCTCTTGGTCAGGCCCCACACCCCCAAAGACCAGAATGCTGTTGGGCCCCACGGAGACAGAAATGTGTCCTGCCCGTGGGCCTGGAGCCACGCTACTTGTGAGCTCCGCTTGTGTCCACCTCATGGTGTCCATTGTGAAGATCCACACATCGTCAAGGTACCTAGAAAGCACAGGGCCAGAGAATTGAGGTGGCGAGTTCGCGGCCTCCATTTCAGTGGCATGACTCCGGTGGTGATGCACCAGCATGTTCATCCCTTTTGTAATGGACAGTTTTCTTGCAGGGCATCGTCACAAGGAATGCTCCCATGCTCATAGCAAAGCAGGAATTCGACCTGCAGTTTTGGCAACTGATATCTGCAAGAATCTGATTCCGAAATAACAGCTGTGAGGAGCAGGGCGCCCAAACCACCTGCGCTGACCTGCATTCATGGACATGTCTACTGAACATCGCATGCGCCCTTGTGTTCTGGGGCCAGTTTTTCCATGGTGGGCTTTCTGTCGAATTTTCAACTAGCTTATAACTCCTGCATTGCCGCTCTGGCCACATGAGTAGTGGAGAGCAGGTGCTGTGTCAGCATTGTCATCAACATTTCTTCTGGAACTATCGGATGACCATTGGATTTTTTTCAAACGGATGGCAGCAAGATTGCTGGCGGTGCCCTGCAACGAATTCAGTCCCTCAAGGGCCCGCAAGCCAACAGCCTCCATCCATACCCCTCGTCCCACTGGCCGTCCGTCTTCTTGGTGTTGGCAGGCAACAAGGCCTATTCAGATCACCCAGCACTGCACGACACAAGAAAGGCACAGAGCTCCACCCTTTCCCCCTTGGCGCCGCTGGCCACTGCCGTCGATTCGTTCCAGACATCCAACCGGCGCCAAATCACGCGAAAAAACGGCGCAGAGAAGGGCGCGTTCCTCGATCCGCAAGCCCGTGCGCCCGTCCTTCCCGGCACTCACTGGTCTCCGCGGTCGCCCCCGAAAACGACCAACCGGTTTCCCGCGGCCGCCGCGGCGTGGCTGTCCCTGGGCGCAGGGCCCTCGTTCACGTCCGTGCGCTGCCAGGTGTACGTCTTGAGGTCCAGAAACACGATGTCGCCCAGGTAGACGGCGCGCGCAGAACAGCCAGGCTGCCCCAAACCAGTGACACACAAGGCTTTCAGGTGCCAGCGGCTCGCGCGAGTTGATGCGCAGCGGCAGAGAAACTCGCGGCTGAGCGCGGTGGCGAGCGGAGCTGGCCACGTGGAATTGCATTTGCTTGACGAATCCCAAATTCCGCATCAAGGGGATTGGGACGGCCACCACGAAGTCACCGCGATAGCGAAAGGGCGGCCGTCGACAGACTGCGGAGCGGTTTGGCGCCCTCGAGGCGTCTTCACTCACGTCTGGTGCCGGCTCCTCGCCCATGCCCCCGAAGATCACGAGCTTGGAGTCGATCACGCATGCAGTGTGACCCTCCCTGCGTTGGGCGAAGCACGCCAAGATGCTGTCAGGAAGGGCAGCAGAGACTCATTCGGCGGTGCAGATCTCGCAAAGCCCAAGGGGCCAGCAGGGCCTGGGGGTCGGTGAGCGCAGGATTGGATTCTTGCCTTGGGGTGGGAGGCTCGCCAAGGGCCTGTATCAGCTTCCACTCCAGGGTCTCGGTGTTGAACAGGTACACCTGCGGCCGTTCGGCGCCGTGAGTCACAAGCGCACAATGATCCTCACGCAAGGGAGCGTCCCAATCGCGATGGCGATGCGGCAACGGCCATTGAAATGCATCGCACTTCAATCGCCCAGGTGAGGGCTTTGGCGGCACGCAAAGGCGACGCTAGTACGGGGGGCAGGGTGGTGCACGCCAGGAGTCACCAGTGCCGCGCCAGCCCCACGACCCACCTCGCTCTTCTTCGACTTTCCGTCCGTGCCACCCACCAGAATGAGGTCCTTGCCTGCGCAGAGCGTCACGAAATGCCGCGCCATTAGCGTCGCGGCGCGGACGGACAACACGGCTTCGCGCCAGACTGCACCGCGTCCCACGCCGCGGGCCCCAACCGGCCACTCACCCACTGTCGCGCACGTGTGGGAGTCCCTCGGGCCCGGCACCGCCCCGCTGGTCACCAGCTTCTTGCACTCCCATGTGGTGGGCGACACGCAGTAGATCTCCGCGCTGCGCTGCTTGCCGTAGCCGCCCGACACGTACAACTTCCCTGCCGCCGCACCCGACCCAGATCACTTCCCCTCCCGCCCCTTCGCCCTCCGCTGGAATCCGAGAGCGCGATGCGCATTGGAAACCCAGCCGTCGCGGAGCACGCCCGCCCGTCGCCTCACCGTCCGTGTAGTTCACGGTGTGGCCCCACCAGCCGATCGGGCACTCGCCCTTCAGCTGCAGGCTCACCCAGCAGGGCTTGAAGCCGCGCGCCGGCTCGCCGCCCTCGGGCGCCAATTTCTGTTGGCCGACCGAGCTCGGAGCCACCGGGCCCGGGTCCAAATCGCCGACCATCGGCGCCCAAAGACTACTCCAGCCGACCCCCTTCGACCACCGTCCCTTGCCGCTCTGAGCGCAGCCCTTTGTCAAAGGTGCGCCGCGGCGGGCCACCTGAGGCAAGCCCCCCTGGCGTCAGCTGTCGATGACGGGTTGCTGTCGGCCGGGGGCGGCCGTGGGTGGCGCGGTCCAGGGGGTGGGGTGGGGTGTGGTGGGGCATGGGGGTGGGGGGGTCCGCCGTTTTGAGCGCTCAATGGCTGGGGTGCGGGGCCATCAACGTGCCGCAAATGGGACGCCCAGGAACCGCCAACCTTTCTTGTGTCAACAAGGGCAAATGACTAATGGTGGGGTTGCTTTGTGCTTGATCTGTGGTAGGACTGTTGGGGGGTTGAGACGTGTGGGAGGCCATGGCGCGAGGTGAGGGGCCGGTGCGCCGCAGGAGGCCGGATCTGGGATCTCTGGAGGGAGGAGAGGGCGGTGCCGGTGGCGCGGAAGGCGATGTCAGCAGTGGGTGGGTTCGGGCTGAGCGGTGGAGGATGTTTGATTCCGGCAGATGTTTGGCCAACCAACTGGTGGCTTTTAACTGCCGCAATGCCGGATAGCATAGCGTTTGAAGCGTTTGGCTGGAGATCTGGGGCTGTTCAGACGGCGGAATGGTTTGGTACTGGAGTTATGAAGGGCTGTTGAGGACAGAAGTTGCTGCGTCAATGGCTTGCAACTTTTAGCACATGCCCTGCGGCAATGCTTGCTGACGCTCTCGCCAGTGACTGCGAGAAATTGAGAGCCGATTGTAGAGACGAGTGCCGGATGCAAAGGCGTTCCATGGCGTCGTACCTGCTGTGGACCCGCGAGTGCAACAGCCGAACACAGCTGGCGGCCACAAACGGAGGGTTGGCGGCAATCTGCAGAAATCCAGGAATGGATTGGATATGGTACTGTCCCGTTTAGTTCTGAGTCCGAAATTTTGACAAGAGTTTGCTGAAGTCGACGGTGGTACACCCTGAACACTGCTATTCCAATTCCAGTTTAAACACACAACGCTCTCCTGTGTGGATCCTCGGCACTGGGACTTGAAGCGTTCGGAGCTGAATGAATGCTGCGTTTCATTTCGGTACGGAGCACATTGATTGGCCTTCCAGAAGAAGCACAGATGCCATTTGGAGTCATCCCTAAGAGCGAATTTCAGAGGTATCCTTGGACACAAGATACGCGATTCAGAATTCTCCAACTCCAATGGAACAAGCAGGCGAAAGCAAGTGCGTGCATCCTGATGGCACTTCATTGTGCCCTTGCCGTTGGACATGCTGTCTTATGGATGATGTGTCAAATTTTGTCATGTTCAGGCCGAAGCAGCGGTTTGGGCGTGGGCTTGCAGCATTCTGCAATGCAGTTATTCTACTCGGCTGGGTGCTGGACAGGACCACCCTAATTCCCAGTATTCTTGTGCGGGTCGTGGCAGTGGTGGGTGAGCAGAGGGGGGTGATGTCATTGATGATTTAATGGGGAACATGCTCTCCAGACTGGTTGCACGTCAACATGAAATGTGTCACAAGGAGAACTGTCTATTGTCGCCAGTCTATTGATTGCAGTTCATTGTTCTGGTTCTTCATCGGAATTTGTTGATACTCTGAAATGAAGCAGTTGATCATCAGCACACATCAATCGCCCTTGTTTTGCAGAATGGGGCCGCTCGTTCTTCTACTCTGAAGTAACAATCTGGGCTGTAAAAAGGTGCAAATCTACGAAAACGGCCACTGACAATTTGTGGATCTGGCTCGCAGGTGTGTGCCTGCTCCTGGCTCGCCTCTTGGCATTCAAGCGTTGGAAAGATGAGACTTGCCACTTGCGCAGGTTCTGTTTCTACATGGTTGCCATGTTGGTTGAGCTGGCAGTAGAGAACTTTCTGGTCTGGTGAGCTGAAATATTTCAAGAGTTGACAACATCCATGTGTGGTAGTTCGGCAGTCACTGAGTACATATTCACCCCGATTGTGCCGTTTGCTGCTGTCAAATTGTGGTGTTGCAGAATTAGACTGGCTGGTCCACCAGATGCCTGTGCCAGTCGTTCCAGAAATGATTATCCCTTGACTCTCATTGCTGCTCTTTATTGTCCCTGCCATGCGATCTGTGTAATCCTACTTCCAGGCTGATGATATGCACCTGTGACCTGATATGCAGGGTTGTGTCTGCCACGGACGTTCGCAAATATGATCGTGTTCCAGGGCTTCAAGACAATGTGAACTTAATTCTCAGCAAGCTTCGTGCCATGCATCCATTATTGCAGTGGGCCATTCACTTCCACTGGGCACACATCTTTCAGTTCCTTGGAGTCATCCTGGCCTGTATTGTGTGGAACGTTGTGTCCAATCAGATTGATGGTTCCTCAACATGAAATAACATTGTGCCTGTTGCACTTCTTACCAAATCTCCAAATGTATCCATACAAACTGGAACATCACTTCCTGTGATAGAGAGTGTAAATGGAAAATGAGGAGAAGAAAACAACGCTTGTGCATGAGGATGTCTGGACGAGTTGCACAGCTACAAAACTAGCCAAATGCAGGGTCAGCCCTTTCAATCAGAATTTTGCTAGCCCCTGTTCCACAATGTAACCCCTTAAGTTCTGGCGTTGGCAATTTTTTGGAACAAAACAAGTTGCCGATGTGGAGGCAGCAGTCCATTTGAAAGATGGTCGCCTTTGCAAGGGTGGATAGAGTGAATGGCTGCAGGAGGGGACAGTCACGAGTTCACTACATGCACCCCTGTTTGCCATCATCAGCTTGCGCACATTGGCTAGTCAACCTGCAGTCACAATCCATCCTCAAGTAGCAAAGGGACTGTAACATCCACACAGAATGAAGGACACCCCACTGCGATAATAGCATACGGGCAATGCAACATTCTGCTGCAAGGCAACCTCGTTGCTGGTGCAATACAGGATGGGCATGGTAAGCACTGTGCAGTACCTCATTGTGGACCACTTCTCTGGTTTTGCAGGTCCCATACTCTGGCTTTGGCATGATGGCAAGAGTGGTCCTCACCATCTGCCTCAGTCGCATTGTGCGAACTGTGTGCTTCCTGGTCACTGTGCTACCAAATCCCAGGATGGGGTGTTACAGCTCTCGCTTTCCACCTGTTCCAAGCAGCACCTGGGATTTCGTGCAGATTGGATTCAGGAAAATGATGGGCACAGGTGGTTGTAATGATCTCATTTTCAGGTGAGATGAGCACAGTTTACAGTCACACATGTCTTGTGTACACCTTCCAAGAGTTACTTGAAATTCTCCAGTCCTGTCATCCTGTCCTGAGGTGCTGCCTTTCTGCTTCATGCACGCCAATTGCTGCTTTTGTGGCTACTGCATCATTGTGTTGTTGCCTTGTTTGGCAAGAGCAAGTAGTGAGACATCGTATGAGGAACCCACTCTTCACCGTTTGCAAACCGATAGCTTTGGGTTCTCACTACCATTGTTAATGCAGACCAACACTTGTTTGGTTGTTCGTTGAGGCGATTAAGCACGAATTCAGTGAGTTCACAGGTTTGCCGTTCATGGCAGCATCATGCCAACAATATGTCCCACGCACATCCCATAGGCATATTAGGTCGCGTGACGCCACGTGCACGATTGCCCTGGGCGTGACGCCGTAGGTTTGGGGTTTCAGGGGAATCCGTGTGCCAGGGGAAGGCGTCACGAGGCCCAAAATACCCCAAATTTGTCCTAACGGCAATTTTCAGGCCAGATGGTGGGCCAAGAAAAAAATGTGTCCTGTTGTAAATAGGTGTAAAGGCAGCACTTTGTGAACATTTTGCATATCCAACAACAAACAAGTAGCTTCAAGCTCTAAGGAACTGGCCAAGCAGGTTGTAAACACCCTGGAGCAATTTGACTGCTGGTGCAATGCTGTACTGCAAGCAGACTGCCGCAACACATTTTGGTTACTCATCTTTTGGCTTATTTGTTCATATTGTGGAGCAGTGAAAGCGCCTCGTTCCACTTTCTACGTGAATTCATTCGGTGACCCCTTTGCCCTCCTTCCCTATGCAGTGGCCATTGTGGTGTGTGGGCACTCGCCCCACTCGCCTACCATTCCTACTACTCGGGCAGGTGTTGCTGGTTGCTGTGGGCCGCCCTGCTCCAGACGTCCCTCAGGACGGTGGCGGAGCGCCACCACTACAGCGTGGACATGGTCCTGGCAGTGGTCATAACGGCATTCGTGTGGCGCGAGCTGGACTGGGTCTGCCCCAGCGGCATCCCCCTGCCGCCGCGCCCCAAGGGCAGCCCACCTGATCCGCTTTCGCCCGCCTTGGCAGCTTTTGTGGGGTTGCTGGTGACAGGGGTGGTCGTGGCGATCGTTGTGTCGGGGTCCTGAAAAAGGGAGGAGATTGCAGGCCATGCCTTTATGCTCAGGGTTCTGGGCTTCTTAGCATCCAGTGTCATAGGTTGCCAGAGCTGGGCTGCGAGGTTTGGCCTGAATCGTAGGTTTTGATGTTGCAGCCTCGGGCAATGGCCTTCTGCGAAAAACGCGGTGGAAGGAAATCGAGAGACTGCGTCCCTTGACTTGGACAGGGCGGTGGCTTGCTGTCCGTGCTGTTCGTCGACAGACCGGCGTGCCTGAGCAGGACTTCGACGATATGGACCGACTGGGATCCAGTCGCATTAACCAGTAGTTGTGTGCAAATGCGCACTTTGGCTGAGGCCTGTGTTGGGCGAAGCGTTCACCGAGGGCATAAAATTACTCCCTGCATCAAATCGGTGACTGCTTGCACGAAAACGGTGACTGCTTGCACCAAGTCACGTGCACATCATGTCCAACTCCGCCAAAACTAACCTAACCTAAAATCTAAAACCTAAACCTAAACCTGTCCTAACCCTAACCCTAACCCTAAAACTCACCCTGAGCTAAACCTAACCCTAAAACTGAGGTTAGGAAAAAGTGTGCACGTGACTTGGTGCAAGCAGTCACCGATTTGGTGCAGGCAGTAATATTATTTCTTCACCGAGCGACGGCGTATATCACTAAAGAGGTATCAGCAGCCTGAGTGATATCAGTCGCCGCCAAATTCGTAGTTATACGCGAGGAGTACTGCATGTTTGCTGGATAATTGAGGACAAGGGGGCGCACTGTACCACCCGAGAATCCGTGATTAGCTCCATTTGGGCTGTCAATGTCCCAGATGATTGCTCCGCAAGCCCAAGACCGCCTGTTGTTCGACTTTTCCGCGACGTCTCCCTATCTCGCGCCTGCCTGGGCCACATTTCGAACGACATCAAGGGCACGTTACAGCTCGCGGTCATGGGCACTGCGAGCCGCACCACTCGCGAGAAGTCTTCCAACACGCCTGGCCGGCCCGCTTGTCAAGCGGGGAGAGCACCCCACCAGGCAGACAACGGCCCATCGGCCGGCTCCAACCCGTGGCGAACTTTCGGCCGGCATAGTCGCTGTCGCCTCACCCACCCCCACCCAACAGCGCAGCGCTTCCTGATCGGTCCGCTGTCGATGGCTTTCGCGGCCGCCAGCGCAGACCGGCCCCACTTCCCCCCGCGCTTTCGGCCCTGGCGGCCTCCCGCCCCGCCTCCCCGCCCAAAATGGACACCTCCCCGCCCTGCAATCGGCACCAAGTCGGTCCTGGCGTCCGCCCAGTCAGGAAGTCCCTTCCCTGGCGCCAAGATCTGGGCGGTGGCGTGTCACCACGCCGCCGCCCGGTGCCCCCCGAGATTCGTGCCTGCGATTTTTGGCCGCCGACGTGGTGCGGTGGCGCACACGTCAGCCCCACCGGGCCGGTTTTGGCCGCCCGTGGCGCCGTTGCCTGGCCGCCAGGCCGCCACGCCAGCGCCCCCCCCCGCCACAGAATCTCCCCCTGCCCACCTTTTTCGGCAAAGCGCGGCGCCGTGGGGCCCAAAGCGCCAAAGGCGTTCGCGCGACACCTGGTGGAGGACCATCTTTTGGGGCACTTTGCCCAACACACCGGTTGCGACCCACCCATTGCGACAACTTCTGGGGCCAACAGGGGTTTTGCCAGCTGCTGGCCGCGGGCGGCGCGATGCGGGACGACGGCGGAGAGGGGAGGGACGGGGGTGGAGGGGGGCCCGACTGGGGGGGCGGGTCCCCGCCGGATAGCTGCGAGCCGTGCAAGGCGGTGCGATTCGAGCTGGGGCCTCGGGGCGACGACGGCAGCGGGGCGGACGCCATGGATCGGGGCCGGTCTTCCCAGAACTTGCCCGTTGCGCAGCCGGTGAGGGGGTTTGCTGTTTCGTCCAGAGCTTTGCGCGTCGCCCGCTGGGGGATGCAAAATCGGGGGGGGAGAGGGGGCAGGGAGGGCTGTCGCTGCTGGCCGCGGCACCACCCCCACCCCCGGCGCCCTTTTCCATCGTACTTTCGCTTTGTCGTTTCTGTTCGCTTTCTGGTGTGCCTGCGCCGCTCCTGGCGGGCTGGTTGCGGGATACCCGGGCGGCGCGGTGGGTGATCGGCCGGCGCTGCGTCCGCGCAGGATTCCGCGGAGCCGCCGGCCAACGCGAACGGCGGGCCGAAGGATGCGGGCGCCCATCCGGCATGCCGCGAGGCCAACGGCAGCTCATCTGGAGAGTGCACCTCCGGCGAGAGCAACGTGGGCGGGGAAGACCCGGAGGCCAGCTCCGCGGGGGAGCAGCGCGCCTTGAAGCGCGGAAGCGGGGATGGGATTCCGGCGGGTGAGCGGTGCGATGCGGGCGGCACGGAGGGCGGTGGGCCTGAAGAGGAGAGGTTGGGGATGGCCGGAGAGGAGGGGATGGACGGCGAGGGGGAGAAGAAGGGCGGCCACGGCACCGCGGCGGGGGCGAAGGGGGGCGCCGATCGGGGCAGCTTGCCCAGGCCGGAGTGCGGCGTGTCGTGCCCGCGGTGCGGCAGCGGCGACACCAAGTTCTGCTACTACAACAATTACAACGTCAAGCAGCCGCGATACCTGTGTAAGGTGAGTGTCGGTTCCCGCCCGGGGGGGGGCTGATCCCGCGGTGTGGCTCCGTGCCATGCGGGCAGGCTGAACGGCTGGGGTGGTGCGCCGCAGACGTGCGAGAGGTATTGGACCGTGGGCGGCACGCTGAGGAACGTGCAGGTGGGGTCGGCGAGGCGGAAGAGCAAGTCCTGCTCGGCGAAGGACGAGCGGGCCGGCAAAGCGGGCTCCGGGATGGAGCCCATTCCCGGCCAGGCGGGCCTCCACTTGTACGGCCAGTTTCGCAACATGCTGATGGAGCCCATGTTCGCCTATGGCGGCATGGTGAACGGCAAGGCGGGGCCCGTGCCCGGGCTGTCGAACTTCAGCTTCCCTTACGGGACTTCGGCAGCCCCGGCTGGAGGGGGGATCGGTGGTGCGGGCGCCGCGACTGCCGAGGCGTCCGGCGTGGTTGAGCCCGGGATGCAGGACCGCGTGGCGGCCAAGGCGGATCCGGGTGGGGGCGGGCCCGACCTGGGCAGCGTGGACCAGGTGCAGGGCTCGTTCGTGTCCTCGGACGAGCAGACCAAGGTGCTGGTGGAGGGCGGCGTGGTGTCGGAGGACGGTAGCGTGGAGGGGAGGCGGCTGAAGATGCGCACGGACTCTGGCAGCCCCGGCAGCGGCGCCTTCGGAAAGCCCCCGGGCGCGGGATCCAGCTTTCAGCAGTACTCCCGACCAGCGGCGTCAATGCCGCCCGGCTCCGCGGGCCCCGCCGGGCAGCACGACGCCCAGGCATGGGGGCAGGACCCGTGGGCGCTGATCCAGGCGCAGGCGCAGGGGCAGGCGCAGGCGCAGGCGCAGGCGCAGGCGCAAGCGCAGGCGCAGGCGCAAGCACAGGCGCAGCAGGTGTGCGTGGACAGAAAAGACGCGCCGGCGGCCAACCAGGGCTTCCTAGGCCAGATCGACCCCGAGTGGCTCAACATTGCCGCCGCGGCCGCCAACCAGCAGATGGCCCAGGCGGTGATGGCGGCCGCGGCGCTGGGGAGCCCCCTGGGCCAGGGGAACACCCCCCAGGCCGACTTCCAGGCCATGGTGCAGGCGCAAGCGGCGCAGGCTGCCCAGTCGCAGCCGCAGGTGCCGGTGGACGCCAACGGGCACGCGCAGGGCGCCCAGGCGGCCGCCGCGCAGGCCGCGCTGCGGATGCGCGCGGCGCAGCTGGCGCAGGCCGCCGTGGCGGGGTGGGGACAGCAGCAGGTGCCCTACTGGTCGGGGCTGTGGCCCTACGGCAGCTACGGGCTGGCAGCTGCTGCCGCCGCTTACCAAGCAAGGCAAGTGGTTGGGCATCTTCGGCAAGTGCAGCCTTCAAAGTGTCCAAATTTTGCTGAACTGTTTAACCAGCTGTGGCTATGTGCATCTGCTGTTCTTGTGTTTGTGGTTCCACACCTGAGCTGTGTGGAACCAAATGTGTCAATCTTCTGTGATTGTTATTTTCTTTGTACAATCAAGTTGAAGGGCCAGCTGTTCTAATCGCTGCCATCCTGCATTGCCTCCTATTTGCTTGTTGCTGGCATCCAGCTGTGCATGCACGGTTGAGGGATGCTTCCCTCTTGATGGCTTGGTGCTAATGCAACGGTCGCTTGGCTGCAGGATGGGAATGGTGAATGGTTGGAATATGCTGGGGATGCCACAGAACGGAACGAGCAATGGCAATGCCGGCAACAACATGGGCAGTTCCAAGGACCATGGTGAGCACACAGCCCCTCCTCAGCTGCCCCTGCACCAGGGGGCAGCCAGCCCACTACCCCCAGCCCTGCAAGTCAACTGCGGATTGAATGGCATGGGCCAGATGCCTGGCGGTGGTGGCAACGAAATGCCCGTTCCCGATATGTGCGAAGGCATGAACAGGATGGGCCTGAACTCGTGGATGCAGGCATGGGGTGCGAACATGGCTACCAGTACTGCTCCTCCAGTGCTGGGAGGGTGGGAGAACCTGATGGGCATGGGGAGGATGAACGATCAAGGGAACACAGGAGCTGCAGCCCAGGCGGCCATATTCCAGGCCACTGTGCTGCCGCACCTGCAACAGGCTATGAACACCGCCACCAATGGTGGTAATATGAGCATGAGTGGGATGTCTGGGGTGAGCGGAAACAGCTCGAGAACACTGTTGGGGAAGAACACCAGGTCACAAGACTCAACCATATTCTGAGCTGGGGAGATGTTTGGGGTCCCGCCGCGGGGGAAAGGAAAAAGAGAAATTGATTAACATTAGAACGATCCTTCTCCTGTTTGCCCTATGGACCTAGCGTTAATCGCGCCACTCCTGCTGCGGAGTGCAGTGCTGAATAACCAGACAGCCTTAGTGAAGGAGTGGCAAATGGGGCTGGGGAAGGTAACAAAATTTTGAACCTATCTGCTTGCTGTAGATGAATACTAGTTTGTCTTCGATTTATGATCGAACATTGGTTGTTAGCTCGCATTCTGTGAGGTCGATCTGTCTGCATTCTGAGCTGGGGTATGGGCGCCGCCACCCTGGGCAGCTGGCCAGGTGGCCGATCGTTTCAGGCGGTCGCCCATTCTGTGATGGCAGTCGCTTGGGTCTATGTGCACAGAACCGCCACTGGGCGACTTCCTGGCACTGGAGAATATACCCTGAAGGCGTTGGGGGTTGAGAGGTGGGGAAAGTGACTCTGTCGCACATTTGACTGCACGGAGGATTGCCACGTTCGCTTCTATTGGATTCACAAGGTTCAGGCTGATTTATAGTATTTGGGGATGCCTCCCACTCCAAACTCCGCTCCCTTTGCCAGAGGTGCAGGGATTTGGACAAGGGGGCTGGTGACGCAAGAATAGGAAGGGCAGATGGAGGCCGTTGAGGGGGTTTGCTTGTAATTTCGTAGTTACTGTGATTGAATGATGTGGGCTGCTGCATCTTGGGGCAGCATGATGGTGACCCTAGGACTGCGTCCACGAATTGCTTAGCATAGCTTGCACAGCGGCTGATGTCGACGATGGTGCTGTCGATGTGGGGAATGGGGCCAAACATTTTTGGATACAGTGCCGAGAGGGTGTGTAAAATGTTGGTGCGGGAACTGCAATTGAGCCTGGCTGATGGTTCATGGCCCGTGAAGGCGCACAACCTGCGCGGGTGATCAGGCATCACCGCCAAGCTCGTGATAATGCGAACCTCAAAAGCTGTTTGGTGTCGTTGGCCAAATTGTGCCGCCTCCCTTGCAGGGCAAAGCCGTTCCCCTGTGCAGCTGCTTGCGACATATCCAATGCGGGCAATGGTGGTTCGTGGCATACGATGTATATATGATGTCTCGTGCTGCCGCACATGGCCATACAGCCACATTCTGCATCCACCCAATGCAAAATGCCATAGATTAAATCAAGAACAAAACTAGCACCCTTTTGCTAGCCTCGAACCTTCCACAATTCTAGACGTTTCCTAAATTTGAACCTCCAGCTCCGCCCTCTGAGCCGGGAGCGCCAGCACAATCATGACCCACTGCTTGAAGTGGGCTGAAGACGAAGCGTCCAACACCACATAATTACTCGCATCGCACATGTGTCCCCGGTCCCCTACCCATCACCCCCATGCCCATCCAAGGATAGTACAACAATTGTGGGGTTCACCTTGCGTTGCACGTCAGGAAGCCAGTTTTTGCGATCAGCCCATAAAATCCTGTGTGCCAAACCAAGCATCTTCTGTGATACCGCACACTGGCTGTCCAGAATTTGCTGTGTCTTGTGCTGGGTTCGGTGGGGCTCTGCTGGACGCGGCTGAACCCCCTGTCCTCATCCTGGTCCCGCTAGCTCATTCCCTCAATGAACATTGACAAGCTCCACATCGAAGGTCAAGACTGCATTTGGAGGAATTACTCCATGAACACCTTGGGCACCATACCCCATGCTTGGTGGCACAGTCAATCTCCTCTTGTCTCCCACTCGCATGTGCATGACACCTTTGTCCCAGCCGGATATGACTTCTCCACAGCCCAAACGGAATGTAAACGTTGAATTCCCCTTGGTTTTATCAAACACCTTTCCAGATTCCAGCCTTCCCGTGTACTTCACCACAACCTTCTTCCCTGCTTTCGCAACCTTTTGGCCAGTGCCAAGCACGAGTTTTTCAATCTTCAGTCTGTTCGGGTACTCCACCACTTGCCCCTTCTTGTTGGCCTTGGTTTCTTTCTCTCCAGCCTTCTGCGTCTGCCCAGCCTTCTTCTCCAACCTCAACTTCTTGTCCTTGTCAGTTATTCTATTCTCTTGGCCACCATCATCGGGATTGTGGGTTCGCTTCTTAGGCTCTGGGGCTGCTGGTGCACCTGGCGCAGGGCGTTTGCTGCCCTTCTTCACGTCTTTCTTACCAGATTTCAAGACGTGTTGTTCCCCCCTGTTCCCATCAGCTGTGCCGTTCATGCCAGCTCCTGCACCATCCTGGCCCTCCGGCACCACAAAACCATCATCCTCGACTGTCAACATCGTATCCTCAGGGTCTTCCTCATCCTCTGTTTCGAAGTCAGGATCTTCATCTTCGTCATCTTCGTCCGGAATTGATGCCATAAGTGCACGCTTCCAATCAGGATATCTCTCCTCCCCTTCCTTGTCCCCTTCCCCGCCCTCTTCCTCTTCACTATCCTCCTCACCCTCCTCAGGACCAAACATGCCCGCCATTTCATCTTCGTCTTCATCGTCCTCGTCGTTTTCGGGCAGGAAGTAGCCTGACACATGCAGTGGGCAGTCGCCCACTATGGACAGTTCTGCATACCTGCAAGTAGCATGGAAAGCATCGTGAAAAATCCTGCTTGAATAGTGTGAGTATGGGCTACATGATGTGCTTGCACTCTGTTTCAAAGACTGGCTCCACCTGTCCGGTGCAAAGGTGAATTCCGTGGACTACATTGCCAGACTAACCAGGCCCAAGAGATGCCGTCAAGCCTTGCAGGCGATGATTGCCACGGAACTGCACAGATAAGGAATCTTCAATTTGCCCAGAGCCTCATTGCACACTCAGTAGCATCAACTCATGCAAGGGGCAGCCGATCCTGTGCCAAATGGCCACAAGATTCTATTCTTTTCTGTGACAGATGATGTAAAAGTAGACAGGGTGAGAACACTCAATACTATGCAGCTGCACAGCAAGAAAACAACTCCAGCACAAGAACAGCTTCAGTAAGGTACATTGCTTGAGTGGAGCAGGGCAGTGGTGGGAGCCGTTTCCTTCGTGTCATATGGACAATCATTTTACCCCTGCCTCCAGCAGTTCCTATCAACACACGCTTTTGGTTGCAGCACTCCTCTGTCGCTTCCTGTTCAGCAGTCAGTTTCAATGGTGTGGGCTCCTGTGGCTGTCCCTCACACGGTCTTCACCTTTCATTTGCGTGCAATATTCTGCAATCAAGACAAAACAGAAATTCCACAATGAGCACCTGTCCAGCATCAAGTCCAGGGACATGAAGTCCGTCCGGCCGCTGACCAGGGTGCCGAGGCAGATGGGGTCGCCGTCTCCGACCTTGGCCATCAGGGAGGAGCGCCTGCCTGGAGCTTGCGCGTCGGCGGGGCCCAGGGCCACCTGCCTGAGGTTTAGGACGCGGGAGCCCTCTGGGGGCGGCACGTAGGGCCACACTTTTTTCAGGTGGACCACTGTTCCAAAGAAGGCCATCCTCTCCCAGGTGCCTGCAAGACGGGACCAGCAACGCCGGCTTGGTGGCCTTGTGGAGTGAAATGCCATTGAATGCTGTTTGTCCACCGACGACCAAACACAGCCTTTGCACCTTGGCGATATCGAGCATAAACTCACACCCAAGTATTGTTCCAATCATTCCTTGTGGAGACGAACCTCTTCACCGCATTCGCCAGAACGCGTAGAAGTACTGTCATGTAACTGGGCCTTGAGTGGGCCGCCATGCTGCAGTGTCCAAATCGCCAATGGGAACAAGCGTGGAAATAAAACTAGCCAGCCACGCGAACAGAGCGGGTGCCAACAGAAAGCTATCGGAACATCCCCGCCAGTTTCGCCAATCAATCACGTCGGACAGTAGCGTCCGAACGAAACTGCCATCCAATCATCGAAGGTTGGCGCGCTGTGGGCCCGCGTTCCCTCAGCGGTGCGATTGTGCCCACCTGCAGAGAACGCGGCGCGGCAGATCTGCGGTCCGAGAGCCAAATGCCTGCGGGGCTCGAACGGAGCTTCGCTTCTCGGGTGGACGCCCCGGGGCCGGGCGCCTGTGGCGGCCAAAAACTGCGGACGACGAATTGATGAGCCGCAGTGAGGGGCGGCTTGTGCCCAATTGCGGTCAAGTTACGGCTTTTTTAAGCAGCTTTTTCTCCTTGAGGGGGAGGGCCCACGGTGCGCCCGCTGGTGGTGTCCGCCGGACAAAAACAGCTTTCTGAGCAACTCCTGGGCGCGTCCTCCGCAGCCCGGAGACGCGGTTGCCGCGCGCTCTTTGCGATGCACAGCGGTGCCGCCGACCGGTCGACCGTGTACCACCGGAAGCAGGCGGGCGAGGCGAGGGCCGAGGGAGACAGAGGCCAGGCGCCCGGCGAGTCCGCGACGCCCGGGACCGAGGTCCCGCAGGGCCACATGGCCTCCCCCTGGGTCGTCCGGCTGGGCGACGATCCCGGCCGGCGGCCCGCCCCCGGCCCGCTGCCCTGGCTGCGCGGCCGCAACCTCATCCTCCTGTGCCTGTGCGTGGCCCTGTTCATGTTCTGGGCCATCAATCTCCGGCCGGCACCCACGGGGGCTGTCGGGGCCGGGAGGGGCGGGGCTGGGCTCAAATTCGCCGTGGTGTTCGACGCGGGCAGCACGGGCAGCAGGGTGCACGCCTACAAGTTCCGCACCGGCCGCGGCGCGGACATGGATCTGGTGGATGACACGTTCGTCGAGCTGAAGCCGGGGCTGAGCAGCTACGGCGGGAGGCCCGCGGAGGCGGTGGCATCCCTGCAGCCCCTGATGCGCAGGGCGATCGACGCCGTGCCCGCCGGCCTGCGCGCGTCCACGCCCGTGGAGCTGCGCGCCACAGCGGGGCTGCGCCTGCTGCCCGGCGACCAGGCGCGGGAGATCCTGGACGCCGTCCTGGAGGCGCTCGTGGCGTCGCCGTTCTCGGCGGCCCGAGATTCGGTGTCCATCCTGGACGGTCAGGATGAGGGCGCCTACGGCTGGCTCACACTGAATTACCTGCTGGGCAGGCTGGGCAGGGGCCACGGCGACACGGCCACCGCGGTGGACCTGGGAGGCGGGTCAGTTCAGGTGAGCTATGCGGTCAGCCCGGAGCAGGCTCGTGGCGCTCCGGACGGCTACATTAAGCGGCTGTCTGGCGGGGGCGCGGAGTACAGCGTCTACGTGCACAGCTACCTCAGGTTTGGCCTCATGGCTGCGCGGGCGGAGATACTAAAGGGGGGCGGGGGGGATGGGGGCAGCCCCTGCGTGGCGAGGGGCTTCTCGGGGGAGTACAAGTATGGGAACGACACCCTGCTGGCGCTGCCCGCAAAGGACCCCGAAGGCGTGTCGGGCCTAAGGTGCAGGGAGCTCGTGGTGGACGTCCTGGAGTTGGACAAGCCTTGTCCCGGGCCGCAGGGCCAGTGCTCCTTTCAGGGTGCCTGGGGGGGACCTGGGAGGGGCAGAGCCCAGCCCGTGTTCCTATTCTCCTATTTCTGGGACAGGGCCCTCGACTCCTCGATCATTGGATCCAGCGAGGCCATATCCTGGCAGAGTACCCCAGGAGACTATGCTGGGAAGTCTGACGCAGCGTGCAAGATGGACATGGGCCTGCTGGCCAGCAGCTTCCCGGATGTCGCTGAGGACAGACTTCCCTACCTGTGCATGGACTTGTCGTTCTGTTCGGTGCTGCTTTCAGATGGCATTGGCCTTGGCGGGAGCCAGGGTGTGAATCTTGTGAAACAAGTTCTGAGGGATGGGAAGAAATTTGAGATGGCATGGGCACTTGGGGCTGCGATTAACAGCATCAGCGCACTCCATCGATAGCCCTTGGAGCAACAAGGTGGTGTCCACTAGGCTGGGCCCTTGCATGATGGTGGTGATGGGAAAGGACGAGGTACATGTTGCGCCGCAAAATCTTGCAAGCAATTTCGCGATTCTTTGAGGCTGGGGTTTGCTGTGGATTCAGCCACACTCGCAACGGTGTGTGATGGAGAACACCTGATCCTAGGCCAGATCTTCTAGTTAGTCGTTTGGAACTTGTCCTTGATGAAACAGGTGAACTGGAGGCACAAATCTGGTGGGGAACAATGCATTCTTCTTGCCTGTTTGGCAGGTGAGCTTAGGCACGTTTCGTTCAGTAGATTAGAGGAAAAATGCTGTCCCTGGTCTTAGGCAGAATTTGTAACTGGAAACTGAATTGGTTGTTTACCCCTGATTGGCAACTTGGATCTATTGCCCTGAAACTAAGAAAGCTGAGCCAGCTGACCAGAGGCTTCAAAAGGATGGTTCTTCAAGCTGTTGACACATGCCATCCTGTCTTGGTGAGGTCACAGGCTGTGCTTTTGCAGTCTACAAAAACAAATCCGCATAAATCAGAGTATCCGGAGTAGCAGCGACTTCTCAGTGCGCCATGCTGTGCTGTTGTCAGATTGAGTTGTACCTTTCTGCCAAACCATCACCATCATATCAACCATGGCGGCTGGTCGCAATTCGATTCAAACATTGTACTGTGGGCCCATTGCGCTTGGGGCTGCCTCAATGAACACGGGATTTGTGCATCACTCCGGAACTCTATTGAGTACATTGTCACACCGCTGATCGACCCTATCCCACAATGTTGCAGCAATGACAATGCAAGCCACATGGAACTACTCATGGAAGAATGTCACCTGAGGGCAAGCGGCAAGCGATGGCTGGCCCCCTTGTGGGCTCCCACGATTGATGCGATTTGCTGTCACTGCCGCTGTCATTCAGATTACATTGAGGCTCAACCCAAGTAGCATTGTGTCCGCACCTCGACATTTTAAGCCTGCAAGGTGGACAAGCCAAAGAACCCGGACCTTTAAATGGGCCCCAGGACCGTCCACCTGAAAACAACATTGGTGGGCGAGTTGGGGAAGGGGAGGGATCACCACCGGTGTGGAGCTGTTGCCCATTGCATGTTACTGAGTATTTGGCAACTTCCACCCTGCAGTTCAGGGTGTGGAAGGTGCGGCAATGGCCATGCCCAGGAGGAAGGCCACTTGTAGGGTGTGCTGATCGTGACAAAAATTCGGGGCGGGGCGCGCAAGGCGGTGAAAGGTAAAGATGGAACTTGGAAGCTGGAAATGGGTGTATACCCTACATATATGTGCTCCAGGTTTCCAGCATTTGATGATATAGGTCGTTAGTCGCCCTTATAAATCTAATTAGATACATATACTTAGGGAAGACACTGTTTGAGTTTGGTGCGCTTAGAGTCAAAAGGAAGTTATGCTCAGCCCCCGCACCCACCCACCCAAATCCCTAGCATCAATCCCTATTTCGCTGCTAGTATGGCTCAGCAACGTTGAGATACAACTTCAGAAGAACTTTATTTCAAAATCCAGCCAAAATTGTAGCGATTGCAGTGGGTTGGATAATGGGATGCTAAAAGCCATGACAAGCGATGGGAGCAGCCTCAAAGGCTGTAAATTGACCTATTCTAAGGAACCCCTCGAAGATTGGAAGAATGAAGGCGGTTCTGGAGCAAGTCATGAGCTGGTTGCCGCCGATCAGCAACGCTTTGTGAATCTTCTCACCTTATTGTGATTTTGGTGCAATTACATATTCCCTTAGCGTCCATGACCAGGTCCCAACCCCACCATAGCGTCCATTTGACGCTGAGCAGACTACAATCAAAATAGTGCCTTCCCTTATTATTTTAACCATCACTTGACCTTCTCCCATTAAAGCTATTCGCGTGGATACGAATTTCGTAATACGAAAGCGCATACGAAAGGCTTTTACATCTTAATAAATGTCATCACACAATGTGACATTGATGGCACGTGAAATTAGCGATGAAGGCTGGGGCCAGGGCCAAGACTGGGTCCAGTGCGACCCAACTGCCGCCCTGTTCATCGTCGGATGCCTCGCATCACCGTCTTGGAGCAATTCCACAGATTTTCTGTCACTTCATCATGCACCCAGGAACGCATCCGTGTAGCAAAAGAGATGACAAGCTTTTCACCTTCAAGGCCCAGCTGCTCACACTTATAAACATATTTACATTTGGCAAAGAGCAATTTCCGGACTCCCTGCGCAGGCGATATCCACATGTCCGCACAATTCTGTAAACGCTCGTCACGTCGTTGACGCGAATATAAACTGCCATGTGGACTGTTCCCATGCACCAAGAGACCAAAATCTCGCAAACAGCATATCGGCACCTGCGCAGCGTTGCGCCCACCAACAGCGCTCGATTCATTGCCCCGCCATGAGATCGCCAGGCTCAAGAGAACAGTCCTGGCCCATGCGCTACCCCAGCCCGCACTCGACGGGCGGTTGGGGCGCCGGAAGCCGCTGTCCTATCCACAACGTGGACTCTGGGCTTTGGACCTTTGCAACCGGAAGCCGCTGTCCTACCCACAACGTGGACTCTGGGCTTTGGACCTTTGCAACAATCACCCGCAGCCACGCCGAATGGAATGCAACCCGGTGGCGCGTTGGAAGTTTGCAAACTGCGGGCCACCG